GAGCCGGATCCTGGGCTGGATAAGGCGAGTCGGTAGTCGACACGGGCTTGCGTAGGATGCGGGATGGAGGTGGGTAGTGTGGCAGCCCTTTTTCCTCGTCTTCTCTTCTTGCCTTGCTTGTTGACCGTAGGATCCAGGACCGAAAGAAGGCTGGGTGGGATGTAAGGCAGCGCGGCGGCAGCTCGTGCGGACGGGAGAGGGTGTGGATGGCAGCGATGATGTGATGGGCAGCGATGATGTGATGGGCAGCTGGATTGGGGTTGGTTCAGAATGTCCAGTTGACTTGCTTTTGTTCTAAACGAAAAGCTGCGCGTGTGGGTGTGAGTGAGTGCGGTGTGGGAGAAGATGGGTGGGAGGGATGGTTGGATGGATGGATGGGCAAAGGTAGCAATAATCTCAGGCAGAAGAGGCGGGCTGAATGGAGAGGGTGGGCGAGTCGAGGATAAAGAATCTGAGGTCTGGTTCCCATCTACCGACGCAAGACCGAGATGGCTGCGCAAAAAAGGTGGTTATTTACCATGTACTGCCCGCGGTGTACCTTTCGCACGGAGAGTAGCCGCGGTAGCAGAATCCATCTCATCTTTCCCCAGTTCTTTTTTGCAAAAAACCGAGAAAAAAAAAGAGGGACACGGCCGATACGCCTTCACGTTATTTCCCACCGTCTAATCCATGACGCTCAATGCCCTAGACCCGACCCGGCCGACTCCTGCCCGGGCTTCTGGAGCCATGGACCTCTGGAGCCGCGATAATAGGTCCGAAGATTGGTTTGTGGACTTAGAGAAGGACCCGACCCGAGCTTGGTATGTATGACGCCGCCGTCTTCGTTGTCGTCCCACCCGTAGATCTTCTGGTGCCTTTTTCTTGTTGCCTCGGGACGACGACGATTATCGATATGCATATTGCATCAGTCGAGGCCCTCAGCTGCCATGCTTGCTTGCTTTCCATGGCGCGGGGGGGTTGCTGAGGTACGACGAGGACGACGGACAGCGTCAGGCCTTGCGGTAAACGTCGCCAAAAGCAGTAATCAGGGCCCCCATGTGTCAAGTACCGGTACATTATTCCCCCATGCGAGGCGGGGGGAGGCGGTTTGCACCGCGTCTCGACTCAGGGCAGCCCTTCAGGGTCTTTGCGGATCAGCGGCTCGAGCGACCGACTCGGGAGCAAGTGAGTGCGCAATTCACGGGCAGCACACGGGGGTCGGCCAGAAGGCCGGCGAGCGTTTCGCTGTGTGGGGTAGGGCGAGGCGGCATGTCGTGGTGGACATGGGGGGCGTCGACTCCAAGTACCGGTACGTGAGCGCTTCTCTCTCTCGTCCCTCAGCCAATTCTCCGCATTGAACTTGACTGGATCGCATCAACCGTCCCTGGCGACGCGATCCTGGGAACAAGAACCAATGCACCGAAGCCTGCCTCGTTCGATTCCAGCCTAGGGCGAGGGAGGGAACAGCCAGGCGATGACATGCTCTGCCCCACCTGCAGATGCTGCTGCTGCTGCTGCTGCCGCCATCCCACGTCCATGTTTGCTGGATGCTGGTCGGTATCCCATGTCAAGACCTGTATCTGCGCGGGCAGTTCTTCCTCTTTGTGTGTCTCCGTGTCCGATCTTATCCATAGTCTAGGACAGCACGCAGTATCCTTTGCCCGAACAGACGAAGAGATGCGGTGCGCGATACCAACCGAGGCAGGCGATGGATGAGATGGCTGCAAAGCGAAACGAGGCTTTTCGATTTCGATCCGATGCGAAAGTGAGACCTCTCTGCCCTCTTGTCTGGTAGGTTGCTGGCTTTCGTCACCGCGCACCGCGCAGGCTCTAGGCCCCGGGAGGCACGGCGTGGATTCCCGTCCCAAGATTGTCTGTCTGTCGTCGGATACGGCGAGACCAGCAACGTGTAGAGTGATGACAGTGCGGCTGTTGCGTGGGTTGGTGCGGGCTGAACTCTATCTCGAACGGGATTGCGGGGGAAGTGGCGTGGATGGCCTGGATTCTTGGAAAACAGCTCGAGGAGAGGAGGCATGATCACAAGCCTCGAATCGAAGCTGCTGGATGGAGTAACAAAACCCGGGGGAGCTGCGAGAAACTCAAAATCAAGGGGGATGCGCCCCCGTTGACTCTTGTTCTTACTCGCTTTCCCAACCCCCATTTGCTTGTGATTTTGTCTTTTTCTGTCTCTCGCTGAGGCCATCGTGTACTGTTGTCGCCATACCTTGCCTCTTTGGTGTGCACCAGGCACCGCTTGCCCTTACTCAGAACCAGACGGACGATGGGCTGGACGCGCCTTCAGAGCTGTGAGTGACAGATGGCGGGAGATCCAAGGTGGTCCCAAGTCCAGGGGTGGCCGGTCGGTCGGTGGGGAACATGTGAAGAACGACCACACGACATTGACGGAATTCCCGTTTTCGACCTTGCCTTGTTTCCCCACACAGGCATTCACTGGCGCTGGGGGCGTGGCGGCCGTCGTCGACTTTGCGCGCTCGTCGCTTGTTTTCCGACTCATCAATGACATCGGCATAATCCCGTGGGTGGTGGACGCGGATGTGCCTGGTGCTTGGGCAAAAAGATGCGGAAAATGTCGGGATAGAGATTTCCCAGTCCCCAATCTTCCCATCCCACAATGCCCACACTTATCGCCGCCTCTCCATGGGCTTGGACCCGCCCGAGTCCCATGGAGAATGGAGTTTTTTTCTCCAGTCGTGCTCTTGGGCCAAGCGCGCGCAGGGCTTCCCGTTGCCTTTTCGCTCCAGGCTCGGAATACCTTCGGGATGAGAATGTCCCGGGGCGGGTAACACAGAATGATGATCAGATAGAACCACTCTCTTCTGATCTGGGGGCCAGAATCGCGCAATCTCGTGAGACAGGCGAAACAAACTGGAACAGACAGAGTAAAATTTTTGTTCTTTCTTTCTTCTGCCTTGGTGCCTTGGTTTGCTTTCAGTCACCCGTAATAGCAGTGTTGCGATTCGCATGTGCAGCGCAGCATCCGGAACTTGTTGCTCCAGCATCCAGCCGAACCGAGATGCGTAACCTCGTTTGGAAGCCGTCCAGATGCGTCTCGGATGGGAAGCATCACCACCGCTCGTTAGGAAGGTTCTTCCCAGACCAATCCTTGAAGACATGCAGCGCTGGTCCGCTACTTCTTGGTAGACCGCAAGCGTTGGTGTTGGTAATAATGCAACTGCGGTCTCTGTTGATGGCCTCAGAGATTCACTAGCTCGCCCTCGCCTGGTCGACTAGGTACGCACACGGGGGGAAGGTCGGGCGTCGAAAGATATGCCCAAGCTTGCCGTGGCCAGAAAAGCATGGCAAGTGTGTGTGTGTGGATGGTGTCTTGCCCTTCCTGCCTGGGCGCATGCACTTGCATCTTGTGCACGAGTCGCGGCAGGCTGGTGTCGTTCCCCGTCTGCAGCTGTTCATGACTGTCTGTCATCACGCTGTCAGCCGTCCCGTCAACCCAAAAGCTTGGCCTTCTCAAGCGGCACTCGAGTACGTGTGTGTGATGCGGCACTGCCCAAGTGGCCAGGCGGTGTCCCTGCGGGTATGTTTGATCCAGCAACTCAAAAAGAGAGTTGGCAGGAATCGAACGAGGGAGGCCAACTATCCGTACGGCTTTGCAATTGAGCGAGGAATTTGCCCGAGATCACCGAGGGGCACCTTGCTCACAGGAACATCGAAATTGAACTCGACCCGCCAGTCCACAGTCCGCCTGGAATTTCTCAATTGGCCGCGATTAATCCGGAGCCACCTCACCGACGGGGGGCTGCTCCAGGAGTCCAGTCGCCAGCCTCCAGGGTCCAAACCAACGGGGACTTCACCGAGCCGGGGTTGGGTTCTTCGGGCGGACGGCGAGCGTTTGATTCACCTCGGCCGGCTCCATCCTGTTGTCGTCTTTCTGCTCGATATTTCCGCCGTCGCCTGCACGGATACCTGGAGTCCTGGACGGATACCGACCCATCTGGCTACCTGCCCAGGCGGTCGATGGGACCAGCAGCGCTGTCGCACAACCTCTGCGTCCGTCCCCGATCATTGCAGGAGAAGCGTCATGGAAGCTAGACACGAGAGGTGTACGATATTGCCAGAGTGATAGAACTGTAACGGTAGCTCAGGGCGAGAAGCAAATCCAGGGTCCATTTACAACGCCGCAAACCCGCTGCTAAGGTAGCAAGACATGCAGTCGTCTGCAGGTGCAAGCAAGCCTTCCAAGCAGCACAACAGCTTAACCAGACCACTCCACGAACGGGAATCCCTTTCCAACCGGGGGTGCATGATACCAGCCCAGATCGCTTCATCAAGAAATCTTAGTCCTTTGCATTGCACCAGCGCCAGTCAAGCAAACTCGTGCCACACTAGCAGTCCAGGCTATCAAGCGGCTCCCGTCTCGCACCACCCGACCCCTCAAATGCGCCGAGAAAGAAGGAAACTCAGATATCCTCTTATCTCGCATGGGGACGCGATAAATTACTCCGGGCGGCAGATGGGCGGTGAAGTAAAGAAGCGCAACGCGATAATCTGCAATTCTCTCACTGCTGCTGCTGCATGGTCGTTTCCGTTCCGAGACTCCACCGACCGACGGACGCCCCGGCCCTGCCAGCAGCAAATGCAAGTGAATCCGTAGCCTACGCAGTAAGGTACGCACTAAGGAACCCAGGTTGGCAACGTAGCTCCGACCAACCAACGAGCTTCCTCCGTCTCGCTCCTCTCTCCCACGGACCAACAAGGAGACAACACCACGCCGGGGGCAAGAAAAAAAAAAAAAAGGATAGCACGCGAGACGCGGCCAGCACGAGAATCGATACGAAACCCGAGGACCCCTCCTTCGACGCTACGTACCTTACAGCGTATCCTGACAATCTCATCTCCATCCTGGGGCAGCTCCGTCGTCCGGACCAGAGCTCCGCTTCCCTCATCGCGGCGCGCGCGTGCCCTCACCCCTCCTTCTCGGCCTCGCACACAACCCCTCCTCGCCGCCACCCCTCCGCCGACCTCCCCGGCGCGACACCGCAGCCATGCCGGAACACCCTCCGAGGAACTTGTTCGACGTCCCCGCCCCAATCGCCGCCCTCTTCCGCCGCTTCCCGCTCGTCACACTGCCCCCGAATGACCTCCCCATCCGCTCCCCTCCCCGCGGCGACATCCCGATCCTCTATGTCTTCACCACGGACGACGATGCCCCGAGGGGCCGACCGAGCTTCAACCCCTCGTGTCTAAAGTGGCAGGTCAGTCCGAATCATCGCCTCTATCCCCTCCGAGGTCACTCCCAGCTAACCCGCGCCTCTCTCCATCCAGACCTTCCTCAAGATAGCAGGCGTACACTTCCGCACCTGCCCCTCCACAAACCACGCCTCCCCCTCCGGCGCCCTCCCCTACCTCCAACCCTCGATACCCTCGCGCCCCATCAGCGCCGGCTCCAGACTCGAGACCTGGGCCCTCTCCCAGAACCCCTCCTCAAAACAACCGCCCCCGCCTCCAGCAAGCCGCCTCCAAGCCTACGAAGCCCTCCTCGACACCCGCGTCCGCACCGCCTGGCTCCACGCCCTCTACCTCTCCCCAGCCAACGCGCCCCTCCTCTCCCGCCTCTACATCGACCCGGCCTCCACCAACGCCATCGTCCGCCTCACGCTGCGGCACCAGACCACCTCCGCCGCCGAGGCCCTCGTCCTGAGGACGACGCGGACCGCCGTGGTCGACCCGTCGCGGATATACGCCGACGCGCGCGACGCGTTCGAGGCGCTGGCCACCTTACTCGACGAGAGCGGCAGCGGCGGCACGGGATGGTTCTTTGGCGCTGAGGAGCCGACGTTGTTCGACGCCTCCGTCTTTGCGTATACTCATCTGTTGCTGGACGAGCAGTTCGGCTGGGTCGACCGCAAGCTAGTGGAGCTGGTGAAGGAGTTCCCTGCTCTCGCGAAGCATCGGAAGAGGTTGCTAAAGATGTGCTTCCCCGAAGAAATGTAAAGAGAAGAAGATTAGGAGGGAAAGCTTGTATTATATCTAGAGCCCCCAAAAGGGTGTGTAGATTACATGACTGAAACGATACCAGCATGTCATGACATGATAGAATCAAACTCACGAGCAGGCGTCATCATGCGGGTCACTCCAGCGCTGGCAGAATGGGCAAGACGTATGAACAGTAGTAGCATGTCCATTTGTGCGGCGGCGACATACGCCCCAACTGAAGACCTATGTAAACTACCCATCCGTCGCATCAGCCAATGCAAGAATCCTCAAGAGCCGACTGTAAAAGTCACCACCCCCCACCAAGACGAAGCCTGACGCCAATAATATGAGTATAAGAAAAGTAGTGGAGTGGCAGAAGGCACGGCATTCTAAAAAGTGCACAAGAATAATGGAATACCATCTATGATGTCCCGGTAAGCCTAGAAGCCCGCTGTTTGCTGGTTGGCTAGTCACAGAGTTGCCTCCCCTAGTAGGGAGACTTTGGGATATCTTCGATGACGTCCTGTAACGATACGAAGGCGCCTGGTCCGCCGTTTTCTCGCAAGTCGTCCAGCAGAACGCTCGTTTGAGCGTAGACCTTTTCGAGAGCAGCCCGAGATGACTTGCCCAATGACACTACGTAACGCGTTAGTTGAAGTACGAGGCGGCGGGATCATGGATGCTCACAAAGAATCGCAGAGTTGAGTTCCTCTGCTACTGCTATGCGTCCTTTCCTGTCAAGGAGATGGGCAACATCCTTCTCCAACAAGGGGTTGCTATATGCGAGCAACGAGTAGATGTCTTGCAAGTGTTTCGATACCTCTCGTCGCGGGTCATTCTTGAACTCCGCCTGGAGAGTCTGGCCGTACTGCAAGGTGGCCAGCTCCAGTTCGTCGATGCCGAGAGGCGCGCCGCCCTCAGAATCCTCGGTGTCCATCTGGTCCCACGCGCCATTCTCGGCGCCGTTGGCATCGAGGTCCATTGCTGAAGCACTAAGGTCAACGCCGCCGGAGTGCCCATTGCTTTTCTTACCCTCCGCAGCCGCCCTCAGCTCTGCGCCGGATCGGACCATTTCGATGAACTTGCGACAACGTAATTTGAAGTAGACCGGCTCGTTGTCTTTGAGAACCTGGGGATACGAAGCGTTGGTGTACTTAAGTGCCCTGTCGATGTCGCCCTCCAGCACAGCTCTTCGGATGCCTGCGTTTTGTTAGTCTGACTAAAACAAGACCATCCCAACCAACTTACGTTGCCGCTTGTTAGCATGCTCATCGTCTTTGACATTAATCCCCTCGATGGGAGCATTCGGGTCGAGACTCAGCGCCTTTTTCTCGGCGTTGATCTCCTCTGCAAATGCTCTCGCCGTTTCGACATAACCGTCATGCTGTAAGAATTGAAGTACCTGTCTCTGTGTAAGCCGTCACCCCGTAGAGCTGGCCATACAGGAACCTACCAGGGCTTGGATCAGCTCCGTCTCATTCATTGACGGCGCGAGACTCAATGTGCTCGTCTCAGCGATCTCATTTTGGACGCGGGCTTTTTCCGCCTAAAGAGTCGAAAGGTTAGCAAATGACATTACAAACGGTTTATAAGTACAACTCGTGCATCCTTTGCAAATCGACAAACATGTATTAAAGTATGCTCTCCAACGAAGGGGCTCAACGACAAGCGCATAACAGACACTGCAGGCATGCAAGACATGCAGCAAAACGCTACGCTTGACTCTGGAAGTCCAGTTGTATGACACAACAAAATCGAAGGAACTTACAGTCATCATTCCCACAATGTCAAAAACAAAGGGGCTTCGGCCAAAGTTGACTCGCACGTGCTCCCCTGACTTCTTCAGCCCAACTGTGGGGTAGAGGTTATTTCCTTTTCCGATTTCGCGGAACGCCGTGCCTAGTAACACCATGTCAGTCGAATTCAACTTCGGGGACTGGACTTTGCCAAGAGACAAGATGCCCGTACCAAGTATATGTCCGTTCTTTGTGAAAAAGGCACAGCCCGTGCGGAAGTTGATACCGCATCCGATCACGTCCGACGCGGTGAATGGCGGACCGTAGGCTTTGCCGCCGTTCTGCCCGGCGTAGCAGTGACCGTCGTCGCTGTGGTAGCCCCAAGAGTCTGGTTCCCAACCCGGAGGCCGCGACAGCGCTACCGTCTTCGCCGAGAACCCGATACCGATCGTCATACTGTAGGCGGTCGTCAGTTACCTGTGAATGTTCACCATCGTTTGCGTCACCTACTCGTCTCGCTTTCCTGACAGAATCTGAACCTCAAAATAGTAGATACCGCATTGTGGTGGCATATGATAGTCGGCCCGTATACTGTAGGCCTCGTGGTCGCGTTCTGTTTGTCCTCGCGGCCCGATATACCTGACCTCCAACCCGTCTGACAGAATGTCCAAAGCTCCATACTTGTCGTCTCGGTTCCACCTCGTTGGCAGCGGGGTAAACGACTCGTCCTCCTCAAACGCGGGGGGCTTCTCGATCACGTCATAGTTCACGCCGCGATGTGAAGCCGGCTTGCCGTGAAGACTGACGCTGCTGGCGCTCGCGGTCAGGTTTCCAGCACCCTGCACCTGGGCCGCCTGAGAATCTTTCTGCGCTTGCAACTTCGCCCAGTGCGCATCCTCCAGCCTCTGGACGTACGTTGAACCAGCCAGGTATGAGGGGACAAAAAACCCACTCCCATTTCCATTTGCGACACCTGATGAATCACCTGCCGGGGCCGACATGAACATATCAAAGACCCTCGAGAAGGAAGGAGCTTGCTGACCCCGCGAATACCGCCCGGACGCCCCGTTGAGGCTGGCGCCGTTCCTGTCCTCATCCATATCGCCGCCCCTGCTCGGATCGTAGCTGCTCGCGGGGGCTTCGAAGGTGATATCGTCAGAGGAGTTTAGAATCTGAGAGATGACCGAGGTCCGTCCTGGATGGGAGAGGTAAGGTGGGTTAAGGGTGGGGGGTGCTCCAGAGGCGACTGAGGCGTAGGAGAAGCGTCGTGGGAGGAGATCAGAGCTGCTGATAGGCGTGTTGGAATCGGTATAATGCGAAGAACCATGGAACGGGTTCGTCATGGTGGAGGGGTCGGGGATCGTGGGGGAAGGCGGCGGCGGCGAGCTCGGCGCACCTGTCACGTTCTAGGAGCTTCGCAAAGCCCCGAGAAGCCGCAACCCGAGCTTCACGGAATAACTAGGCAGGTGTGTCGAGCCTGTGGGGGATGGGTCTGTTCGAATGGGCGGTATGAGATGAGCCAGGCAGTCGGGCAGGTCTGGTAAAACGGGAGCTCGTCGGAGCGTCGAACCAGCAATCGGGTTCGGAATGGCGTGCTGGGACGGATACAGATCGGTTCGCACTATTACGATGTTGGTGTGTTTGAGGGTGGCCACGGAAGCAGCCTCGACAGAATCAAAGTATATTTGGCTCTACCAAAAGATCTGGAAGTGCACGGCAGAGGGTGCACTCGTCAGTGCAGAGGTGGCAGTGTAGTGCAGCTCGTTTATCGCGGCGATGACAGTGAAGTGGTTGAGTGGGAATCTCCGCACCTGGCAGGCAAGAGGTGAGGTGTGGTGAGGCAGAAGGTAAGGCAAGGTACCTTGAGTGCTTGGGAGGGACGGGTGGTGAGTTGCATCCTCCCAGCGCCCGGACGACTGATTCGCTGCTGGTCTTGGCCCGTCCTGAGCGTCCGCTAAATAATCACAAGAGCAGGTCATTGTTCGAGCCTAGTCGACCAGTTGAGGCGCCAAACGGGACCAGTCACAGCAGTCCCCCTACTGCAGCCAGTGCTGTCCAGGGATTCCTAGTGCAAGAGGTTGAGACCGTGCTATCGGCATATGCAGCTCATCGCACTGTACCTACGTATAGCCAGATGGGATGCAAAGCCCCTTGGACTCCCTCCTGATGAAGAGATTGGGCCGGCATACACGTGTCCAGCATGACGGTGTCCATGTTTAGGGTTGTTTTGGTAAAACTCGTCCTCGAGAACAAAGATCGCATGATGGGTGAGACGTCTGGACAAACATCAAAGAGAAGGGGAAGTGCTGTCATCACATAGTGTGAAATCGGAATCTGGCACTGTAAGTTAGGTAATCATGGTGCCCACCTTGGTCCGGGGCTCTGGCAGCCCAGCCCCCCTGGGTGCTTAGGTAATGATCCGACCTGTCACCAACGTTCAACGTTCCAGCCTCTCTCCATCGCAACGAGGCAAACGCGCTCGATGGGGGAATAATGACAGGAGGGTACCAATGCTTTTTTGACAGTGGGTTTCCACAGCCCTTTGGGCGCTGATGAACCACAACACCGACCACCGCGGTGCCCCAAAGAGCCATCACCCGCCGCTTTCAATCAGTTTGTCGTTCCTTTTGGATGCACTCGATGCAAATAATCTTGCGACGAGATTATCCTGTATGACGGGTCAGAGCTGAGCTGGATGCATATTCCAGACTCAGACGGACGGCTTATCGTACAAACCTTCCAATCGCCAAACACCTCGCCTGCCGCGTACGCACCACCCTCATGATTCAATCTCCTCTGGAGTGGGACGCTTCTGTCGCCGAGGCTTTCGGCACTAACGCCCGGCTCTTTTCGGTCATGCCAACGCAATCCACACATACAACATCAATGCCAATAGGACTTCAGTTTTGAAAAGTCCGTCAATTCTATCGCCCGATGGGCGACTCCTCGTGCATGCGCAAACTTCATAGTGTACACTTTGTGTCTGTCCATAAGAACGCCTTCCCCGTGGTAGCTACCGCGCTGAACCGATATTCCGAATCCCATGAACGCCAGCGGACTAATGCCGCACACAACGCCTAATCCAATTCTGAAAACTCCTGGCAAACGTGCCTGACAGATGCTGTCCGTCTCCGTACCTTTTCCCCCTTGCCCATCAAACTCCAAGCCTCTGTGTACATGCAGTGTACATGCACGGGACACTCTCAGCGTGTCTCTGCCTAAGTGATGAAATGGAAGAAAAGTGTAGCACCATCGGCGGTCGATCACGCGGCAGATATAGCCATCGGCGCGGGGGAGCTGGCGGGAACACTGCCGGGCGCACTCCGTACTTCGGCTTCGACGCCGCTGTTGACAGCGCTGTTGGCGTCGCTCTTTACTTGCTCGTTCTCCTTGTTTTCCTTGGCGCTGCTATCTGCTGAGGCAGCAGCCGATCCCTCGGCAGTGGACTCGAGCAACAGCTTAGGAGGCGCGGTCCAACGGGGAACCTCCCAGACGATGCCAGTGAAGCTCTTGAGGACGAAGCCACCCTTTGCCCATTTGCGACACGGCTTGCCCGACCGGTCAAGAGCACGTAGTCCAGCGTTGATAGCTCCCTGGTTCGCCTTGGGGCCGAGCTTATGTCCTGCGGCTCCAGACCGGGCATTCGGATCGATCGTACCGTCCTCCCTGTGAATATGTTAGTATGCGTGGGTGCAAATGCATGGTAGAGATGTCACGTACAGTCTGGCTTTCTTCTTAGGTCCAGGCTTGCCACGAACCTTGGGCAAGCCGTCCGGTCCAAGACCGTTGGCAGCACCGGCACCGCGTTTGGTGCCCTTTTTCTTGCCTTCGAGAGGAGGTCCCATGGATGTGGGAGCTGGTGTTCCACCTGCAGCAGGGGTCGCAGGGTTTGAGTCGGAGGCATTCTCGCCGTTCGTGGCAGCGGGAGCAGCCAGGGTCGCGGAGGTGGCAGGAGAGTCCTGTGATTCTTGGTTCTCCTTTGACTCGCTGGTCTCGTCGACGTCCATCTTGACGGGGGACTCCTCCTTGGCGGGTGTGGGCTCAAGGATTTCCTTCAATCTCTCGGCGCTGACCGTAAGGGTGATGATGAGGCCGCCCTTGCCTCCGGTCGACTTGCGTCGGACACCTATTGTGGATGACATTTCGATAAATGTGGTGTTGAGTGATGGATGGGATAGTCAGGCGTGATGATTAGACGTGTAAAAATGGTGGTGACGAAGGAAAGTTCGAAGGGGAGGCGACGGGGAGCTGTAGAAGTAGAAGGGTTGGCTTTGTCGGGGATACAGCTGCTTTGATCAACAGGGTGGCGGTCGAGCCGGTCATCCAATGGCCACGGTTAGGTTGTGATCTGGCTTGTGGGTAGGGGGATGGGATTGGCAAGGTTTTTTGGGCGTTGGGTGCGGTGCGGTGCGGTGCGTTGCGTTGCGTTTCCGGTGAGGTGCGGATTTCGCAGGCAGGCAGGCAGATTATTCTGGCGTCGGCGACTCGCAGGTCAGTGTTCGGGTCGGGCGGCGGCGAGGTGGTGATGGTTTGCAGCGACGACGATGCGATAGATGGAATGGGAGGATGGGTGGGAAATCTGATGGGGGACAGGAGAGAATTTTTATTTTATGGGGGAATCCATCTGGTAAGTTTGGCGTCTCATTTTCGAGAGAGCGCCAGACCAGGCGGCGTGACAATAAACGGTTCTCATGCTGGGTTGGGTGCTGGGTGAGTGGTGCGTGGTGCTGGGCTCTCGCTCTCTCACTCTCCGTCAAGAATTGACCTCCAGCTTTCGCTTCCTCTCGCGCGCAGCAGCAGCCAGCGCCGCAGTTGTGGGTAAGCGAGAGCCTGGGACCTGGGGGGGGCCCGTGGTAGGTCCGGAAAGGGATGCACGGGTGGGGTTTTCCCCCTTCCAGAAGTACAGGGGTACAAGGCCAATCTTGCTATTTACGCGCAGAAGGAGCTGCATCACGCAGGGCTTCGCGCAGCGCGCAGCATCCACGGCCAAGTACCTTCCCGCCCAGGAGGTACTTCGCGCCGAGGTGAAGGGTGAAGGGTGAGCGTGAGAGGTGCCATTTAATCAAAGGATACGTACCGCGGCACCCTCCGCTTCCGCCGCCGGCCTCAATACTCTCACTCTCAGTAAAGTATTCGTACCTTTTCGTAGCAACGAGAGCATCCATCTCATCCACCAAGGATGCATCAGGTCTTGGGGCTTGCTTGCTTGCTTCACTGAACTCAGCGAGTAGCGGCCCAGGAAGCCACGGAAGCTTGCCTTTTTCTCCTCTTCATCCATCCCCCTTCTCTTCAGTCGTCCGAAGCGTCATCTCTTGGTCTCCCGCCCTTCTTGCCCCGAGCCAGTCGCTTGTCTCTCATTCATCTTGATCGATGCTCCATGCTCCATGCCATGCCTCAGGCAATACCTTAATTCGCGAGATGCCCTCTGCATCCCGCCCGCAGCAGCAGCAGCAGCATTTCATCCAGTCTGCCCTACATCCATTGTCAGGGCGAGGGCGAAACACTTCGACACCTCGCGACAAGGCCCAGCTGTCTCTTACCCCTTCAGGCATGGCTTGACTCGAAAAATGGCGATAGCACGCTACATTTCGCACTCTCCACAACCACCTCGCGGGACACCGGACGATGATCCATGGCCCTTTCAGACTTTATGTACAGCGACTTATTTCCCTCAGGGTCATGACACGCCGTGACGACAAAGACCCGGCGATCCTGCAACCATGGAGGACGACCAGAAAAATAAAAATACGGGCCACGCACTAATGCCTCGACCGCCTTACTCACCGCGATGCACCATGAGCGAGATGCACTCAATCTCACAAGACGTGTACTCATTGTCGGCCAGAAACGGGGCTGGCGATGACAAACAACCACTGGGAAAAAAGCTGCAGCTGTGGTCGATTTTTTCGGACGCACCCGCAGAAAGTTGCAGCGGGATCAATGGGTTCGGATACTCGGTCGGCGAGGATCAAGGGGATAACACTCAGGTCTCAAGCTAACACATCACCACGATCCAGCGGCTCAGGACGCTTGGCCGGCGCACTCCAGCACTTTGTTTGGAGCAGCCTGGAACCTTGAATTGGTGATGCCCACTACAGGCTTCCATTTCAGCCTGGAATCCCCTTGAACACACAACCCGGGGAGGTGAACTTTGGGCGTTTAAAGCCTGCGTGTACCATCATTCACACTCCAGGCCGCAATTCCTCCCATTGCATGACCAAGGAAGGCATGGACGGCCGAGGAACCGCTGGGAGACAGATAGCAACCTGCATCAACCTTCCCAACCAACCGGTCCTGAGTCCTGAAAACGGGGTAGGCGCCGATTCAGCAAGATCATCTACGAGCAGGGAGAAGCCGGGTCGGACAAACACAGTGAAGTGAATGACCAACATCGAGCGGACATCAACCAAGCCCGGGTTGGAACATCGTGGGCTCGCTGATGGGGGCGTCGGAGTGGCCAAAGAACCATCGCAATCTGCCTTCCCTGCACCCGTCATTTACATCACCACTCCTTGCAATTTGCAACCTCTCGTCTCGCGAAACTCGAAGGGCAGAGTGCTGTCTGTGGGCATGTTCAAAGACTTTCGCCTGCCTTCACAGACATATCAAGAGCACCGGTATCGACGATGACCTCGCGGCGAGCCGGCCCCCATTGTTGGGAATGGGAGCCCTAAACGCTGTGGAAAGAGGCTGGGCTGCCAAACCTCCCGCATTTGCCGTGGTCACACTTCCCTGTCAGATGGATACAAAAAAATGCTTTCACCCCCAACTCCAATCCCACTTGACGAGAGCCAATCGAACTCCCGAGGGTCAAGCATCCCAACCGGACGCCAACAGAAAATGGAAAGCCAAGTGGCGCGAGATGAGGCCAGAGCGACATCCGGGAACCCGCCCAAGCCGCTGGGTGAATCCCACGAAAAGAAGAAAAGGGAACAGCTCCGTTCGTCTCACCGCATTACCGCACGCATCCCGAGAATTCGCCCACCATCATTGCAATACGCCCCTTACACAGTCCAAGATCACCAGTAAGAATCGACAACCACATTAAGTCGAGACCAACGCCTCGCTCCTGTCGCCCAGAGAGAACGCAGACAGACGAGTAGGCGACGCAGGCTTCGTCTTTTTTGCACACGTCTCGTGAGTGGGGAAGAAACCATCTTCTTTTCGGCGGTCAGCATGAGCAGGCCGGCGACAAACACTCACTCGCGAGCCATCAGCCATTCAGTCCCGTTTCATCGCATCCGTGCGAATACTATCACCGTCCACTACGAGTGCCCGTTAGACTTGCGTTTGATCCGTACCCCAAATCCACCTCAGGGATGTCTCTTTTCTGACTGCGTCATGCATCACCGTCGCCCACGGCCGATCATCACCACCGTCCGTACCAGAAGGGAGCTTGCTCTGTCGTCATCCCCCAAAGCCAAACTTCGCCGTGCATCCCCGAAACCACCCCGACGCCTGCAACGCTCCACAATCCAGAGTTACTTCCGTGAACGGCTTCATCGCCATGATTTCTTCCTGTGCCACACTCTTGCACCATCTCCCGACCCACAATACCAGCCGTCTATTGTATGCGCAAGCACCGCGCGGCCATCGCGAGAATTGAAAATGCCAGAGGTCTTACGCCGTCGCCAACCACAGGCTCTAGATGCAGTCCATCTACAACGATCGTTATTTCCTGGCCTCGGAGAGACAACATCCACCGTCTTTTCTCCTCTCAGCTATCGTTGATCGGCCATTGACCAAGGAACCATACACCAGCAGGAATGCCATCGCATCAGCGGCAAGCTGCCGCCGACTGGAATGCGTTGCTATATTTACAACGGCAGCAATGCCACAAACCTATATCAGGGGCTCGAGAAGTCTCGACAGCCGTGTTGAATGGATTAACTACTCACTACTCATTGTAAAACGCGCAACATTCCAACATGCATTTCATCACCAAGATTCTTCAAGCGGGCGTCATCCTGCACGTCGCCTTCCAGGGCGCGTCCAGTGCCATCATGCGCGGCCGATCCGGCGAGATCGACTCGATCCAAGAGGCCCAGCTCTCGACCCGCGCTCTCACCGACCAACTGGAGGACCTCGACAACCAGCTGGGCGAGTTCTTGAGCAACTACAAGGGCGGCCATCTGAAGCCCGACGGGGACACCACCAGCATCTCGACCATTGCGACCGCCGACATCGAAAAGAGACAGAACCTCCAGATCTCCCAGCAAGCCCTCCAGGATCTCCTCAAGCTCATTCAGTCGATCGAGACGCAGATCTCCGCCATCATCGCGTCCGGCGGCAGCTCGCCGAGTGGCGGCGCCGTACAGACCCCGGCCCCGGCCATCACGGGAGGCAACCCGGCGCCCGTCGCTACCCCCGGCCCTGGTGTCTCCCCGGTAAAGTCGGCCAATCCGCCGGTTTCCAACCTGTTCTCGGCCTCCAACCCCGTAGCACCCAACCCCGGGGCTACCAACCCGCCGGCAGCTTCCAACCCCGTGGCGTCCAACCCGTTGAACCCTGGAGCTACTAACAACCCTGGTGTAGGTCCTATCGTCCCCGCCCCCTTTCTAACAAACTCAGGTGCAGGCGCAGGTGGTGCCGGAAACCCCATGACCACCGCATATGGAACAGCTACTACGACCGGTACGCGATGCAAGACGACCCTCACTCAGACGTTTACCGCTTACGTCTATGAAGATGGCAGTCCGGCAGGAGCCCCTGCCAAAGCACGTGACGTGCATTCCCACCATGACGACCCGGAGGACTCGGACCTTGATGGTTCTGAGGAGGATGCCGAAGTCGTCCCGGCGGTCGAGCCCAGAGCCGCCGAACACGACGGCGATGTGGAAGATGTCCAAAGTGCGGCCGAGTCGTGGAGGGCCTTGACACGCCGTGAGTCGCGAAGGGGCCCCGATCGCTCCAATCTCCTCCTCATCCGTGAGGAAGGAGGTCTTTTTGAGAACTTGAACTAGCAAAGGGCGACGCTGAGACTAAGGTAACATGAACCTGTCCGTCGGGAAGCGACTTTCAAAACCTAATTCGATGGCGCAGGAAATTCAACATTACATCAGCCGGAGGTTAATGACGGGTTATGATGGACGAGAACGGATGAATCGGCAACGACCGCAATGATTATGACATTCATTTGATACGACACGCAACGACTAGACGCACACAGTATACGACACACGACAACATTGTTATAGATTAGATGGACGAGGTGCCGGGGGAAATAGGTTATCACGACGGACACATCTTCAACAGATGAGCATTCTTTATTCAAGCAGAGCACTCATTAATACAACGACTTTGTCTTCTTATCTTTGGTTAACAGCTTTCTATTGGTGATCTGGGTGAAACCTGTTAGTGTCTCAGCCACAATGCTCGGGTCCGTGTGCCACACGTCCGTTCCGCGGCAATCATCGGTGAAAAAAATGGGCCTTCTCCAAACTCAGAATGGAACTCGGCCGCCCCCAATCATCACAGACACCAAAGTCAGCATCTCGACGGCAACGACAACTCTACAGAGCGGGACAGAACGACTACCCAATTGTCTTTCAATTATATTTTCTTATCTCCAAAGTACCAGCTTGAATATGCGCAACCAAGGGTCGTACAGGGTTTATCTGGGGTAAAAAGGGCCAGAGAGCGGCTTATCATGGTCAAGATGGACTCAAAAGGTCGTAAACAAGGGCGTGGCCGGCAGGATGAGGGTGGAACAATGTGTCGTTCACGCCCAAGTGACCCGTGTGACCAGAGATTAGGTTGATATGACAAACAGAAAATGGACGGGCGGCGGACGGGGGCTTCGTGTCATGTCTGGCCGGAGCGAGCAACCCCTCACGTAGAGGCCGGAATTGTTCCTCGTGAGGCCGGTTCTGTTCCGGCCATTTACTATATCACGGCGCCGAGTGGCGGAAAGTCCCAACCATCTGAACTTGGACTCTCACTCCTCACAACGCCTACACACAAAAGGCTCTCCTCACTTCAACAGGATTTCCCTGATATATTTTTGCCAATTTTTTCGGGTTTCTTTGCATACCCATATCACTTATACCCCCTCTCTCAAGCCGTATAAGTCGACTTACACGGACTTTCTCGTACAATACACCCAATACGCACGCACTCAATATCCATTACACACCATCATCATCTCATAACCCACACAACCCACCCAAACCCAACACATCCCTACTTTCACTTACACACATACTCATCCACCCCACGTCTTACCCCGGTAGTTCATCACACAATGGGTTCTCTTGACTCCACCCCGTTCCCCGTCCTGGACGACACCCGGCCGGAGGACAACTCCCTCCCCGCCTTCATGGTCTCCACCACCCGCGGCTTCTTGCCCCGTGCGGATCCCGTCGCCGTGCTGCCGGCCGAGTTCCAACCCCTTGAAGACATCTTGGCCAACATGCCTGTGAAGAAGCTCGACGGTACTCCGGGTTACTTGGCTTCATCCAAGCTGGGTGACGTCGTCGAGAAGGAGTTCCCCAACCTCACAGAGCACATTGACAAGTACAAGGAGAACCTGCCCCTGATGAACGCTCTCTACCGCGATTACTCTTTCCTTGCCTCTGCTTATCTGCTCGAGCCCTGCCATGAGCGTTTCGTCAGAGGCGAGGGGTACGGTCTCGGTCGTCAGGTTCTCCCCAAGAACATCTCCCTACCTATCGCTCGTTGTGCCGAGATGTAAGTTTCTCTCATCTACGTTCTCCCTTCTCCATTACTACTTCCTATGCTTTCAAATGTCCTAACATCCATCCAGCACCGGTTTCAAGCCTTGGATGGAGTACGCCGGCTCGTATGCCCTCTACAACTACCGCCTCGCCGACCCTGCCAAGGGCATGGACTACGACAACATCCGCCTCATCCGCGCCTTCGAGCACGGCCTGGACCCCAAGTCCTCCGAGGCAGGCTTCGTCCTCGTCCACATCGACATGGTCAAGAACACTGGCCCCCTCGTCAAGGGCACCATGGCCGCGCTCCGCTGCACGTCCCGCGCCGGCTCGATCGACCGCGCCTCCCTCAACCAGGGGCTCTCCGAGGTCCTCGCCTCGCTGCGCAAGATCAACCACACCATGGAGACCATGTGGGACAAGTCGCGCCCGCAGAGCTACACCTCCTTCCGCACCTTCATCTTCGGCATCACCAGCCAGAGCATGTTCCCCAACGGCGTCGTCTACGAGGGCGTCAACAATGACGAGCCCATGTCCTTCCGCGGCGAGTCCGGCGCCAACGACTCCATCGTGCCCCTCATGGACAACCTCCTCCAGGTCCCCATGCCCGACACCCCGCTCACCGAGATCCTCAAGGACTTCCGCTCCTACCGCCCCAGCAACCACCGCCAGTTCCTGCTGCACGTCAAGGACCGCTCGCTCGAGCTCGGCCTCAAGGACGCCGCGCTCGCCGGCAAGACGCCCGCCGCCGCGCTCGCGAGCGACGACGAGGTCGAGGCCCTCAAGCAGACCCGCCGCCTGTGGCTGCTGATCCTCCACCAGGTGCGCGACTTCCGCTGGCGCCACTGGTGCTTCGCGCGCGAGTACATCCTCAAGCGCACCAGCCACCCGACGGCCACCGGCGGCAGCCCCATCGTCACCTGGCTGCCCAACCAGCTCGAGGCCGTGCTGTCCGAGATGGAGAACCTCTACACGGAGCTCGGCGGGCGCGAGGGCGAGTGGGACCTCGGCGAGGAGATGCGGGACGTCATGGACCTCGTGTCGCGGCAGAAGGAGACGCTGAGAAAGGAGGTGTCCAAGTACTGTGCGGAGAGGGGCGTCAATCCTCACACTGCTTGAAGGAGGGGTTAGGTCCGTACAACGAAAAAGAAAGTGATGCTGATAACGAGTTTGGTTTTTTTTTCTGGTTTCTATCGGCTTTCACCCGCATTCAAGCGTCGCGGTGTGGTGGCACATGGTCTGACATGCGAACATGTAATTCAAAATTTATTATCAAAGAATTTGCTGATGCATTTGGCGCTATGCTGTCATGTGATGATACCATGCGGGCGCGCTAAAAACAATCAAAAAGATGACATGAACACTTCTGTCTTTTTTGTGGACGGCTGCTGATTACTTGTTCAGCGCCCTGTCCATATCTTTCCTCCATTCCGGAGCTTTCTTCCTGAGCACCCAGACACACAGATAACCCGTAATCCACGTGAAAATGCCCAGGATTGTAAATAGCCACCCGTTCCCGATTGCGTTGATAACGGGCTGCGCGGCGATGGCTCCGATGCACGAGAAGATGTTGCGCACAAAGTTGTTGACCGCCACACCTCCCGAGCTGCGCTTGGGCATGAACTCCGTTAGCATGGTAGTGGCGGCGCCGCTAGGGAAAGAAGTGATGTTAGCCAAAGTTGACTGATAAGAAGGCATCGCCAGAACCAAAACGACAGACGAAGGGGACAAAGACTTACAACACCAGCATCGAGCTGATCCCAAAGAAGAAAAGACCGATACACGGCACAAACCAGAAAAGACCCTTCTGGACCACCCAGCCGTAGAAGATGAGGGCAGCGGGATACACCGTCGCGGCGATCCACGCGTTCTCGCGCATCCTGTCCTCGGGGAGCATGATGAGCTTGCCGTTGGCGTCGTAGCGGCCCGCCTTCTTGGCCTCCCTCGCCATGATGTGGTCGAGCCAGCGACCGCCGAGGATCGAGGCGATGAAGTAGCCCAGGCCCGCGGGGAAGTAGAACAGGCCGATGATGAGCACGCTGAAGCCGTACGGCTCCTTGGAGAAGGTCGACTGCACCGAGATGTTGACGACGAAGAGCGCGCCAAAGGTGATGGCCGCGAAGGCGACCGTGATGATCACCGGCGGGAAGCGCAGGTACAGCAGCACGGAGAGCGGGTCGAGGAAGAACTTCTTCAGCAGCGCGCCCGCCTTCTTGGTGTGCACCTTGACCGACTCGGTCGTCTTGGTGCGGGAGAGGGCGTTCTTCTCGCCCTGAGCGGCACCAGCCGGGGGAAGTGCGGGCTTGGGCTTCGCCAGGGTCTCGGGCAGGCAGAACAGGATCATGATGAGCACGAGGCCGCCGTAGATGGCGAGCGCCCACATGGTGGACTGCCAGCCGAAGCGCTGCGACAGGGCGCCGCCGATGATGGGGGCGAGGAGCGGGCCGCACAGGGGGCCGAGGTAGAAGATGGACATGCCGCGGCCGCGCTCGCGGGGTTCCCAGATGTCGGCGATGGTGCCGGCGCCGACGGCTTGGACGGAGGCGCTCGCGCCGCCGCCGAGGAGGCGCATCACGATGAGCATCTCGATGTTGACGCTGATCGCGCTGAGGACTGAGAAGACGACAAAGAGGGCGAAGGAGATTAGGTAGATTGTGCGGCGGCCGAGTGTTTCTGAAAAGGAGGACCACCAGAGCGGGAAGATGGCCATGGCAAGCATGTAGAATGCCACCGACAAGTTGGTGACTGTTGCCGAAACACCAAACTCCTCAGACATTTGACCCAAGGCCGCTTTTTTAGGTCATACCGTGTTAGTAAAATTGTGTCATTGGCATTTTTGTGTTTTTTTTTTTGTTTTTTTTGGAACGAGCGAGCTTACGATAAAAGATGGAAGAGCCCATAGGAGACACGGCAGCAGCCAGGGCAATGATCAACGTGATTGTCCATTTTGTCTTGTTTGTGTAGTCATATGGACGGTCTACCTCCGGGATGATGGCGAGCTGGCCGAAAAGGCCTCTCCGTTTTGATCGGGGCACGATTGACAGAGCACGGGAGCGGGTGGAGGAGGCCCGGGACCGAGTCCTGGCGGCCGGGGCGGCGGCGGCTGATGGGTCCGCATCCAGCGCCGGCTCCGGCGACTCGCGAGATCCGTCATCATCATTCCGACCAATTTCTGTGATTTCATCTTCGCTATCGCTGGACTGGCTCTGCTCCTCTCTCTGCTCAGAAGCTGTTTCCGGCGGAAAAGGATCCTTTTCCGGGTCTCGTGACGAGGCAGTCATTGTGTGGGATTTTTGTTGGCCGAGTCGGCGCCGAGGTTTCGAGGATGAGAAACAAGATGGGAATTGCGGCAGCCAAGCAAGTAGTTGTTGGGCGCTCAGAAGGCAAAAGGGGTATTTCCAACTTTCAAGACCCACGACCGAACAGCCAAGAAAAAAACCCTTTAGAAGATGGAGAAGGGCGAACGAAATGACGAAAGAGAATGGCCGGGGCCTGGCCGACTTTTTTAATCGGGTGCTGCACTGGGAAAACGGGTTTCCCACCCCCCACCCCAGGAGGCCTGGTCATGTCCATGATGGCTAGCCTGCCTTTTTTTCACCAAAGGAGACAGTCATTGAAATCTCTCCTACCCATCGGCTAACTGTACCGTTCCGCAGTGGAGTGCGGATCGACACCGAGCTCGGCTCCTGGCAGCCGATGTTTCGAGCGCGAGAGATGCCTCGGTGGTCCTCTCCATAGTGGGCCAGCAGGGTGGCAGCCGCCGCGCGGTGTACGTACAAACTCCATACGTTCAAGATGCAGAAGAATAGCAACGCGAACCGCGAGCGCGAGCACCGCCAGGTGAGCAGCAGCAGTTTGTAAGTGAGCACGAGGCGGAGTGTTCGAATCCAGCACTTGCGTAAGGAATGACGATATAGACGCTCAGAAAAGACGGCAAAGCGGCACTGCAGCAGGTCGTCTGGTCTTTTGATGCTCGGTTTCCGCCCACTATGTCCGCTCAGCTTAGTAAAACGGCACCGCGGTCGGCAATTTTTTGGGGGCAGGGTGATATGTTGGTTGCTAGGTGGCCAGCCTAGTCTAGCAATACCCACTGATGCGCCGCTCGTCTCTTATCGAAGGCGAGTGTCTTATCGGGACGGGGAGAGCCAAAGCGGCAGCTCCAACACCGGAGTAGGCAGGCTGGTCGCGGGGTGCATACGGAGAACACGGAGTATGTACGGAGTATGCCCTGGGGCGTAGACCTTGCCTGTCTCGGCCGTGTCGTCGAAATCCATTCCAAACGAGGGAGGTGATAAAAGTAGAAACTTTTTTGATTGACATGGTGGAAATACGGATGACAAGGGCCAACATGAGACGGGCCAAAGAAGAGTTCAGGCGTCGCAGGAGCTCCGACAAAGGGGGACACTTTACGAACGCCTTCCATGACTCGGAGAAGACGCCGTCATGGTTGCATTTTGCGACGACAGCGGCGAATCCCCGGAGAAAAGAAACAGAGTCAGCTCCGTGGCGAGTTCAAAAGGCAGAGTCAAGCATCCAGTTCCCAAGTCATCGACACCAGGGTGCTGGGGAAACACAACAATAGAATGTCGCATTCAGGCCGACAACCCCAGCGAAAGTTTGTCACGACGTTTTCCACGATGCTCAGTGGCTGGGCATCAAATGATAGGTACTTAGGTACCTGCGCACGCAGCGGCCCCATTGCGATTTGTGGATCCTTGTCTTCATCATCCAGGTCTGTACTTTGAAAACAACGGTTGACAAAATATAAGTAGCTTTTCGGAGTTGATAGAAGCAAATGAGGCTCTGGGTACAGACTCAATCTCCATCTTGCATTCAAATAAGCTTATTTGGATTGACAAGAAGCCACTGGCATTGGCAAAGTTACTTCAATCCACCAAAACTCAAGACTGATCACCCTGTAGCCGTTTCCCTCCCGCTTGAGCTCCGGCTCCGAGTGCGGGGCTCCAAATTTTTGCAGCGTCCAGTGGCGCGTCCTCTCATTTTAGAGGGGTTTAGTGACATGCTGATAGCTTCACCAATTGACTCACACACAATATCAGACTGTCGTCGGTGCAAGTGCAACAATTATTGCACAAAGTAACATCCTGACACAGATTCACCCTCCCAACCGCCAATCCACCATGTCTCTTACCAACGCCTCGCCTGTCGATTGCGCAAAGAGCGCCAAGTCGGCCTCTCACATCCTCGCCACACTCCCCGCCGAAGCCCGCAACGACGCTCTCACGGCCATTCACGCCGCCCTCACCGAGGCCAAGGATGACATCCTCGCCGCAAATGCACGCGACTTGGAGCTCGCCCGCAAGGCTGCTGCCGATGGAACCCTGAGCCAGAGTCTCGTCTCTCGCTTGGACTTGGGCAAGAAGGGCAAGTTTGAGGATATGCTTAAGGGTATCTTGGATGTGAGAGATCTGGAGGACCCAGGTATGTGAATTTCACACGACACTCGAATGATCATATGAGTCTAACGCAAAGCAGTTGGCAAGGTCACGCTGAGAACAAAGCTGGACGATGGTCTCATCCTCGAGAGAGTCACTTGCCCCATCGGCGTACTGCTCATCATTTTCGAGGCTCGCCCCGAGGTCATCGCCAACATCGCCTCCCTGGCCATCAAGTCTGGCAATGCTGCCATCCTCAAAGGCGGCAAGGAGTCTACCGAGTCATTCGTGGCCATCTCGCAGGTCATCTCCTCCGCCCTCGAGAACCTCCAGAAGCCCAAGGTCCCCAACTCAGCCGTCCAGCTCGTCAGCTCTCGCGACGTCATTCCCCAGCTGCTTGCACTCGACGAGTACATTGACCTCGTCGTCCCCCGTGGCTCTAACGAGCTTGTCCGCTACATCAAGGAGAACACCAAGATCCCCGTCCTGGGCCATGCCGATGGCTTGTGCTCTATCTTCCTGACCGGTTCGGCGGACCCCAAGATGGCGGCGGATGTCGTTGTTGACTCCAAGACGAGCTACCCCGCCGCCTGCAACAGTGTGGAGACCCTGCTGGTGCAGGAGTCTGCCCTCGAGACTTCGTTCCCCGTGGTTGCAGAGGCTCTGATTGCCAAGGGCGTGACGCTTCACTGCGATCGCCAATCCAAGGAGGCCCTTCTGTCTAAGCTCTCTGGCGACGCTGCTTCCAAGGTGGTCGATGTCAAGGATGCCGACTACGATACTGAGTTCCTGTCCCTCGACGTCGCAGTCAAGGTCGTTTTCTCCATGGCCGAGGCCGTGCAGCACATCAACACCCACGGTTCCAAGCACACCGAGGCCATCCTTACCTCGGACGAGCAGGAGGCTGAGAAGTTCATGAACTCTGTGGACACTGCGGGTGCCTACTGGAACGCGTCCACCCGCATGGCGGACGGCATGCGTTACGGCTTCGGCACTGAGGTTGGTATTAGCACCAACAAGATCCACTCTCGTGGCCCCGTTGGCTTGGAGGGTCTCATGATTTACAAGTACAAGATTAGGGGACACGGTCAGGTTTCGTTGGCGTATGGCGAGGGAGAGGGCAAGAAGCCTTTCAAGCACGAGAATATGGCTATCTAAGGGATAGACAAAAGCAAATGACTTTGGGCGTTTGGCGGGCCTCTTGGAACGAGGAAAATGAATGAAAAAAAAAGAAAGCCATGGTCTCGGAAGTTGCGTTGCTTGACATGCCTGACTCTATGGAGTGACTCAAGCGCCCCCCAGCCAGCATCGGCCGTCGATCGGGGCGGCCCCACTGCACGCCGATACCTGCCGGTTCGGTACGGACACGACGGCCGGCGACGAAAGACGCCGCCATCTAGGGTTAATCACAAGCCAAGCATGCCTTGTTGCCCTGTATGAGTGACGTTGAGCATTTGCCGGTCTCACCTGCAGCTGCAGAACATCTTGGCCATTCTTGGGCCACGTTGCCACGTATCTAACCCGTCCAGGGCCACAACCAGCTTGTCCGGCAGCCCGCGCAACTGGATTGACCCCGAGTTACCCGGTGACATGCACGCAACAGACCAGACTGGACGTCCAGCCCATCTCATGATGAATTTTGAACCTGTTCAAACAAATTGGAGACAAGGTGAATTGCAGGGAGAGACTCGGCAAGCCAATGAAAGGGAGCGCCGCCGTTGGACAGCTCTAAGCGCCGCCCCTCTTCACCTGGCGCCAAAAAGAGTTAGGGACGCTCTCCATTCGCCTGGGCGCTGCCCTTCCTCGGCGGCGATTGGACAACACCCCCAAAGTCCCAGCCAGCTCGAATTAGAATCTTTGAGAGCTCCAGTACACCATCGATGCAGGACCAACGGGAAGCTGGGGGCGATGCGGCCAGATGTCGAGGCCAACCCGGGCCGTGGGACAGGGGTCTGGCGGAGCTTGCAGCAGGAGCTGGGATTGCTCTGGCGCGTGGGAAGCTCCCTCATCAATGGTCCTGAACCCCGAGGCGCCCGTCTTTCGCGACACTTTTTTCCTCCCTCCTCCCCTTTACCCATTGCGATACGGGCGCGGCAGATTGGAGAAGAAATCAATTCGAATGTGACTTCATTCTTGTGGAACTTGGATCGTATTGTTCGTGCTACTCTACCGTTAGAAGCAGGCTGCGATCACCTGTAAGTGCGGGGCAGCGATGCGATGCGACCATCTTGGCGACGACTGACCTGTTGGCAGGTCACCCTCTGAGTCCTACTCAGCTTACTCTACCGTCATCTACCTTCATTTTCGACTCATTCGAAGCTGTTTCGGTTCTCTGACACCGTCGCCGAAAAGACGCGAATCTCAAAGTGGCCATGTCCGCCCAATACTATCCTCGTGAGTCGCTCTTTTACCCCGCCAAACGGAGCTTGCGCTGACAACCTCACAGCTCCCCCTTCGGGAGGTATGTACTTTCTACCGTCGCAAGCACCTTTTCCTCAAGCATTTTGCTGACAAGACTCAAGGCCATGCCCAGCAGAACTACCCTCCGCCGCCGCAATCGCCCCCCGCGCACCAGACCAAGTTCTCGTATCCTGCTCCTCCCTCACAACCTCAGCGCGGCCACAGTGGAAGCTACCCTCCGCCGCCGCAGCCCTCGCCGGGGCAGTCGCAGAACTATCCCCCTCCTCCCATAACCTCGCCGACCTCCCAGAACTTCCCTCCTCCCAAGTCGAGCACGCCTCAGAACTACCCACCTCCTCCCCAAGCTTCGGCAGCACAGAACGCGAACTACCCCCCTCCTCCACAGGCATCTCCGAGCCAGGGGCGAAGCTATCCGCCACCTCCCCAGGGAACATCGTCGCCCGCCCAGGGTCAACCGCAATACCCGCCGCCTCCTGGTCTTGCGCAGCAGCAAGCACAACAGCAGCAGCAAGTGCAGCAACAGCCGTCACCCCAACCGTCCCCTCCGCACTCGCAGCAGTTTCATCAGACGCAGCTTCCGGTGAGGAATTCAGGGTCCCATGAGGCGGGTTCGCAATTCTCTACGCCTCCCCCCTCCTTCGACGGTCCCCCAGATGCTGCGGCCCTTCCAGAGAAGCAATACGTAGAGGAGGCCCCGGTCGACACCAGCAACCCCGCTAATCTCCAGGGAGGAGCTCCGGCCGCCACACATTTCCTGGGAGCGACTGCGACCGTCGATGATGTTGGCACATTCAACGGAGGCAGCTACCGCATCAGCCACAGAGACAGCAACACCATCCTGACCATTCAGCTTGCCGTGGGCTGCCCGCTGACGGCGAAGCCTGGCGTCATGGTGGCCATGTCGCACTCGATCACGCTGAGGGGCCAGATCAAGTTCAGCATGAAGAAGCTCGTTGCCGGAGCGGAACTCGCCAGCTCGACCTTTGTCGGGCCTGGCGAGCTTCTCTTGGCCCCGCCCATGCTCGGCGACATCACCAGTCTGCGCCTGACCGGCAAGGAGACGTGGTCGGTCGGCCAGGACGCCTATGTCGCGTCAACGCAAGGTGTTATCAAGGACTACAAGCGCCAGGGCCTCAGCAAGGCTATCTTCAGTGGCGAGGGCCTGTATGTGTACAAGATCAGCGGTACCGGTCTGCTCTGGCTGACCAGCTTTGGTGCCATCATCCGCAAGGATGTAAGTGAGCTCCCAGACATGTATTCAAACGGACGACTGACCAGTTTTTAGCTTATGGAGGGCGAGAAGTATGTTGTCGACAACGGCCATCTCGTAGCATGGAACGTCAAGTACATCATGGAGCGGGTTGCTTCTGGTGGCATCATCTCTGGTATCTCATCTGGCGAGGGCTTGGTTTGCAAGTTCACCGGCCCAGGTACCGTCTTCATGCAGACGAGGAACGCTGTGAGTATCCTCTTTGCCAGTTTTTGAGATCAAATTTGCTGACATGTATGATTGCAGAAACATTTCTATGCGTACCTTCAAGGACAACAGCACCAATCTGTCTAAAAGAAAGTTGACAGTGGTGTGGCCGAGGCAATGTAGACGTTGCAATATGTCAGCCCAGGAGGTGCATGATGTGATGATGAAAAGAATCATAATATTTCAATACTTATAGCGTGGTAAATTGATATCCTCTCAATGTTTCAACACGGGGTCATGGGCTTTGATTACAAAAGTATTGGTGTGGATCGTCTCGAAATCCATATGACTATTCTTTGTTATGTGTTTCTGAGGCTAAGTAGTGACTTATAAGCCTGCAGACATGACGCCGTCTGTCTTTACTGTGCCAGAAGAACTACTCTTTCTCTGGGTTTATTTATAATCACTTCCATATAACTGGTAGCATTGTCGTTGTCACCGTCCGCTATCGGCCGTCGCCATCGTCCGTCGCCATAGTTTGTCGCCATCGTCAGTCGCCACCGTCGTCGTGGCTTCCATTTTATCATTTTTTCTGCTATCGTTCTTAATTGGAGCAACTCAATACACAGGTAATTTAGTTGCGCAGACATAGGACTCGGCCTCGCAAAGGTGGGCTCACAGTCGAAGCCCGTAGATGCTCCGGGTACGTTGTCGCTCCTTCCCCATAGCAGGTAGCACTTTCCCGTTTGCCAACAGATGCAAATGCCATTTCATTTCTTCCTTTTTTATTTCTTAGACCAACTCCTTCCTCACAGACAGACTTGAGACTGTCTTGCCTTCCCTGTACCTCATTTCGCGGAGGCGAATCTCCGGTGCCAGTGATTAGATTTGAACCAGTCCCTGCTTAGACAACGACATCCTCTCAACATCAACACTCAACCTCAACATCACCTCAGCCTTTTTTTGGATTTTTGGACACGATCCATAGACTTACGGGCCCAAGCCTAGAGTAGAGCGCATGCTTTCTTTATCAGCGAGGATTTCCCTTCACGGTACAGATTACGAAACAGTCCCAGCAGCGGCTCCTTGTTGTCCCCGATCACTTCGCAAAGGCTTCTTTCACACGCTGATGCCTCTCTGGCGAAGCACATCAGCAACATCGTCACAACCTCAGGACCGATCCAGACAATCTCAGAACCTTAGACATCCACCACTGAGGCAAGAACAACCCGCTGTTCTTTCGCTTTTGCAATCAGTTGAGGGGTCTGAATTTTCCCAGCCTTCCCGAAAACAAAACGAGGGAAAAAAGCCAACTGAACCTCCACCAACCCACCTCCGAATTATCTCCTCCATTGCAACGTCTCGATTTGCCCGTCTGCGGCCTTGAGTCTGGTCCCGAAGAACTTGACTATTCTCCGTTCGGTCAGTTTTTCTCGCGGCTTCAAGATCGCGGCCCTATTTTGTCCTTCCGTCGCAAAGACTCGCTGCAGTGTGTGCCTTCCCAACGAACCGCAAAGCGCCGACCGATTCACCGATCAAGGTACGTCTGATTCCTTCTGTCTCTAGCTTTCGCAAAAAGCTTGGGTGACCAAAATATTGACAGTCATATTAGCTTTCTCGATAGTCTGCAAGCTCCTGCAAAACAGAGCGGGCTCACGGCACTCGCTGAACTCCCCATCTCTGACAAACGAGCGGCCAAGATGGTTTACACGAATATCAGAAATGCTGCGGGGCTTATCAACCGACCCGACAGAGGTTCATCCAACACCCGGCACCCCTCGCCTCAAAGAACCAACGACGAGAACAGAGCCTTGACCGAGAAACACGCCGCCGTATTGAACTCTTCGAACTGGAGAAAGCCCCTCAAACCACATGAAAACAACACTGAGTGCATCAGAGTCTCCAAGAGCCGGAAGACTTCTGGCATCGGCACCGACTTCAACATGGCTGACCCTGCTACTCACTTGCGGAAGCCTGTTTCCGGCGTCGACCCTCTGTTGATCGCAACAGACCCCGTCTTCGGAGGAAATGCGGCGGTCGTGCCTCAAGAGATCTTCACCCTGGAGAAGGAGCCAGGTGCAAAAGTCAGGTGCCTCGCTATTCACCACGGACGCTTCGACGAGAGAGTTGCAGGCAGTGCCCTAAACTAGAAGAAGAAGGGAGCCACCCCTCTTGTCATGGACTTGGTGATCCACGATTGCGATGACCCCGACTGCGACAATGGAGTTTTCAACAATGCCGAGATCCGCCGCATTAAGAGTGCCACTCGGTTCAAGTCCCAGCCTCGCGATGGTGGCATCCTCGACTTTGAGAAGCAGCTGAGAGGCGCTAAGATCACGCCTCGCAAGTTGTCTATGGTTGATCTTACCAACCCTTGCAATTACGACCAAGACAACATTTTTAGCGGGAAAGACCACTTCAAGAAGTTGCAGGCGGAGTGCCAGGTCAAAAAGACAGCTATCATACAAGACCCTGCCGTTGTCACTGTTGGAGACAAGAATTCTGACGAAGATGCCATCAAAGAGATTCGCTTCAATGAGATGCTTCGGAAGCTCAAAAGTTCGTCTATACCAGAGTACCATCCAGTAGCTGTGGTAAAGGACTCACCCAAAGATCGACCAAGACAAGACTCTGGTGATTCTGGTGTCGACATGAGAAGCCCTATAAAGCGGTCTCTCAACCCCCTAGCGAAGGAATTCGCGGCCTTTTCCTCCAAGGAAAACCCCGTTGTTGCAGAGAAGCGCGGATCAGAGACCTCTATGAACATTCCTCTGTCGGTTCTCGAACAGATTGTAGGTCAGAGCGACCAGTTCAAGCCGTTTGAGGAGGGCGGCGGCCAACAAATCTCGAATGAGGCGATTCTCAACACGATTCAGAAGTTCGGTTTGGGAAGCGCAGCGCAGCAAAAGGTAACCTCGCCGTTCTCATTTGAGTCTCTTGCTATGAAACCGGCTCTGCAGCCCTCACCGTTTCCACTGGTGCCATCCATGTCTCCAGGAGTCGACCTTAACAATGGCATACCTCCGATCAGCACTTTTATGCCAATGCAGACTTCGCCGCCCAGTCATTCAATCCATCCCTTCATCAATCCAACGATTCATAATCTGCCTCATCCGGCTCCTGCTTTTGGACCGCACCCTCAAGGACCCGGTCTCCCTCCGCCCATGGCAGGATTTGGACCGCAGACAGGCGGATTTACGGCTGGCTTCAACCGACCATTTGTTGCTGGTTCTGACATCGGGCCTCCTGGGCTTGGTCCTCAGACATTCAACAACCTTGCAACAGCACCTTCCAACATGGCCAACAATGGCTTTCTCAACCAACACCAAGCTGGGCAATTCGACAACAAATTTCTACGCCCGCAGAAGCCTCGCATCCCTGATGCCATGGCTCAGCAGAAGTATGAGGAGTATATTGAGTGGAAGAAGGCAAACGATCCTAAGTATGCTCTCGAGTGCAAAAATCGCCAAGCCAGAAGAGCTATTCGAAATAATCCTGTCCCGGCTTGAGGACACGATAAGCGCCTTGCATTTCTCTCAAGAACGGCATGGCCGCAGACGGAGATTACGTGACTTCAGACCGAGAGGGCTGCTGGCGCATTTCTGGCAGATCAGACCTGGATCATCGAACCATAAGGATTGAGTATGTTTTGTATCGAATTATGAGCACGTTTGCTATTGGTATTCAAAGTTTGCGACGGGACGCATATGGGTACGTTGGAAGGAAGAAGAAAGGAGTATCCGCTATCGCGCCAATTCTCATGCTTGGAGATTCATTGCGATATGCACGTCAGGTTCAGCCGGCGTGGCAGGTTCGGGCAGCAGCTCTTTGATTTCCTGTACTGTTTATGATTAAAATCGCTGGCTGTAGCATTGGTTCTTCTCGGTCAACCAATAGCACTTTTTTGCCTGGTTATCCCTCGCTGTGCAACGGTCATCATGCTTGTGATTGCTGGTAACAGTATCTGCATATAAACAAGGATACCGCTTATTTTCCCAGTGGCTATAATCTCTACCTTACCATCTTCGCTGCTGTTATCGTCGTTATCATCATTACTGCTGTCGTTGTTGTCGTTATCGTCATTATCGTCGTCTACTGTCGTCGTCTACTGTCGTCTGCTGTCGTCGTCGCCGCTAGTATTATTAATGATATCATCTTCTTTAATAGGAGCAATGAGTACACAGGAAAACCAGGCGGTCTCTAAATAAGGTATCATTTGGATTTTGGTATCTGTGTGCAAAACTGCTCTCATCAAAGTCATTCCAGCGCCCATGTTGAAATCGTAAAGCCTTTCCACCTCTTCTAAAACATGATTGCCCACTGTAAGTCTTACTACTTCATCATGAATCCTTTAGAACACAAGCGAAAACCCAGTCAAGCCGTAGGCCCTCAGGGCGGTTCCTCCGAACAGCTCGGCCTGGTCCTCGGGGTCCATGGTAGCCATGTAGCACATGCGCTCGACAAGCAGCTTCCACTTGCGCCAAGCCTCGTCGACGCCGACGGTGCAGACGGGCCAGTCGCTACCGAACATGGTGCGGCGGGGGCCAAAGGTGGCGAGGACGACGCCGAGCCAGGGGAAGAGGGCCTCGAAGAGCGCGTTGGGGTCCTGCTTCTTGAGGGAGTCGGGCATCTCGGAGAAGCCGCCTGAGAGCTTGATGTAGGTCTTTGAGCACGCGGAGAGGGCGAAGATGGATGTGCGCCAGTAGATGAAGGAAGGGTCTGTCGTGTTGATGACGCCGAGGTCGGGTTTGCAGAGGTGGTCTGTTACGAGCAGGGAGCAGTTAGCAGGAGTTTAGAGATGTTAGAGGATGGGTAACTGACTGATGATGAATGTGACCTTCTCCTCCTCGGGAACACCTTCATGGGCACGGGCGATGATCTCCAGCGCCTCGTCGAGCTGCTGCTTCCCGCGGCGGTGCTGGTCGACGCCGAGGTCGAAGACGTAGCCCAGCCTGCCGAGCAGCTTCAGGCTGTCGATGAAGTCGTCCGTCAGGCCGGTGCCGTGCGGCTTGTCCTGCAGCAGGTAGCGGAAGCCGCGGATCTTGGGCCAGACGTGCTCGCCGGCGACCTCCTTGACGTGGTCCAGGTATTTCTGCATGGCCTCGGCGCCGGAGGGCAGCGGAGCCCAGGGGATGATGCCAAGGCACAGGTCCTTGTGCTCCTCACCGTGGCCCTCGCCGTCGCGGGGCTTGCCCTCGGCGATGCGACGGAGCCAGGAGACCTCCATGAGGGGGAACTCCCAGCCGGAGGCGTCCTTGACGCCGGCCTCGAGGTCGTGCTTGCGGTCCGTCTCGAGGAAGATGAAGCCCTTGAGGTTGGGGGGGCTGCCGGTCGCGGCGACATAGTCGGAGACGGAGTGCTGCTTGGCGAGCGGGTTCTCGGGGGTCGCCCAGGCGAGGGTCTCGATCTCGGTCTCTGGGTAGAGGTGGATGTGGGAGTCGACGATTGGGTAGTCCATGGCGGGCGATTTGGCGGTCTGCGGATCTGGGAGAGCGGGGTTCGTGGTAAAGGCTTTGGTTGTGATTGACCGTTGGGTGGTCAATTGGGCGGTTTGTGGAAAGACGAGCAACCCGAAAAAACGAGGTTGAGTTATGGACAAAAGAACCCTCCGTTTCAAGAGACTTGGAGGGCGTGTTTGAAGATGGAAGTTTAGGGGGCGGAAATGAGGTGAGAGGAAGGTGTGTGAAGTCCCCGCACCAAGTCCCTCCATCGCGGGGTCGCTGTTGCAGCAACACGCCCCCTGACCCCAGCTTTCAGTGGATGAACGGCGGCAGAGGACCCCCACCAGCCCGCTTTGTGACGTTGATGGCCCCGCCCTCTTCAGCGGTATCTTTCCCCCGAACGCCGACTTTCACGAAGGGACCCCCGTTCAGGGTCGGAGGTTTTATCTTACATCGTCGACCATATCAACTTACACTGATGGTAGACCACTATATACGAAGGCAATGCGCCAAATTACGGAAGACTGTCAAAAAAGATCACTAGGAGGCACGTGAGGTTGTGTTCATTGATGAATAGATTCCATAGGCGTCTACCCATTCCGCCTGTGGCGGTATCTTGGCTGTCTAAGGTACATGAGGGCGGCTTGCCCAAGCTTTCCAAACATCCAGCTTGGGGCCGCAGTAATTGGTCCATCCCCAGAAGCACAAAGGCTTCTTCATCCGCTGGAGCTTTCGGCCTCGCATGCCTCCCTTCGGAGGGCACGCGGGGGTGCTCCCTCGTTGTCAGTAAGAGCACATGACAAACGAAACGGGCACGCGCGATCCGGACGGGGTGATCGCGGCGTGGGGTCGCAGCATCGACCCACTTGGGGCGAGGTGTTGCGGGCAGTACCGAGACCGGCTCGGCATGCCGCTGTTCCTCGGTGGATGCAATGATGGTTGGAAACGTGCGCTGACTGCCGTGTGCCGGCGTCGCCGCCTGGCCCCCAGGGGCCGAGACGGGAGCGGCAAAGAGAACGGGTCGCGCGACGAAATGAATGTGTGTCCACGTGGGACTTCTTCTTCGGGTTTGTTTCTGATTAAGGTCTTCATGGTGATGTTGTGTCCTCCCCGGGACGGCATCGGGATTTTCATCGGACGACCATGCCGTGGCGGCGGCTGTTGGAGACGTACTCCTCCTCCTCGTCGGACTCCTCGTCGGAAGAGTCGGAGCACTCGGAGCTGTCGCCGTAGCCGCAACGGGCGCCGCCACAGTCGATCTTGACGCGGTCGCCCTTGCGGGTGATGCCGTAGCGCTCGCAGGTGCAGGTGCTGACGTCGGAGCCGGGGGTGCTGTAGCCGGACATGGATGAGTTGGGGCTGGAGCTGTCGGAGCGGTAGGAGAGGCTGGAGCCGCTGGACGACACGGGCGAGCTGGAGAAGTCTGTCACGATATCCTCATCGTCGAAGCCGGCGGCGCCGAAGCGGGCGGTGAGCTCCTCGAGATCCTCATCGCGGTAGTCGCCGTTGAGGATGTGCTGAGTGGCGTGGGGCGACGTGGGCTTGGGGGCCTTGATCTGAGAGATGGAGAGAGGTCGGCCCTTGGGGATGTCGCGCGACGAGGAGCGGTTGCGGCTGCTCTTCTTGTCCTTGGAGGAGGAGCGGCGGGAGCTGCGAGAAGAGGAGTGGGAGGAGGAGTGTGATGAAGACTTGGAGGAGGACTTGGAAGACGAGGACGACTTGGAGGACTTGCTGCTGGAGCTGCTTGACTTGCCGGACGAGGGAACGTCGAGAATGTTCAGCTCGCGGCCGGTGGTGGGCTCAACAGTGGAGGTGACGCTGGGGTTGTGGGCGACGTGGTAGCCGTCGATGATGTAGTAGTACCAGTAGCGCTGGCCGGCGGACAGGGTGGAACCGCTGAACTTGAAGGTGCCCTTCCACGAGCCGGACTTGGAGGAAGTCTTGTCCTTGGACAGGGGAAGTTGTCCGACGTAGTTGTCCCAGGAGCCAAGAAGGTGGACGGTCTTGACGCCGGAAGAAACGCGAAGAGAGAAGGAGAGTTGAGTGGACGACATTATTGCGATTTATCAGGAGAAGCTGCGAACAAGGTGTGAAACTGTTGACGAATAATGGTGGTCGATTGAGCAAGAAATTCCAGATTTCCGATTAGGGGTAAAGTTGCCCAGCAACTTGATGGTGGTGATGCAAAAAATTGGTGTTTTTGGAAATAACGGTTATTGGGTATTAGTTGATGCTGCAATTAGGAATAGAGACCAGCTCTAGGGAAACAAAGAACAAAAACAACGGAAAGGGGGAAAATCAAAGACCTGGAATTACTTGTCGAGTGCTTGCTGAAGAGAAGAGAGAGGAAAGGAAGACGAAAGGGATGGGAGGCTTCCATTATATGCCTTGAGCGGCCGTAGTTGGAGTCCAGGCGAGGCCGCATGAGAGGGCCAACGACACATTGTGTGTGGTGGGTTGGAAAAGCCACTCGAGATGCGGTGCTACATGCGCCGCTCATGGCTGGGGCAAGCAAGCAAGCAGGCAGTCAGCGTGCCTAGTCCCAAGGTACTACGCAGTAGTGGAGTGTGCAAAGGAAGCATCACTTGATGGACGGCCCAATGAGGAGGATGCTGGGCATGGCAAGGCTTGTGGATGGCCGATGCAGGTAGCCAATATCACACTGGTGATGGTGCTCCGCGTCGGCGCTCAAGAGATCAGCCGGCCGGGGATCCCCTCGCTCCAGGACGGGAACTGGGAAGTTGGGAGCTAGTGAAGCTCTCTCGAGGTGTGCTGGCAAATAGGAAGCAGGGCAGCCTCAGCAAGCGCACCCCATCCCCATCGCCGTCACCTCTGGCGCGGTTGTTCCCCTCTTTCTCATTCGTACCCTAGGCAGGTAGGCAGAGGTCGTTTTCTGACCAAGTCAATTGTTGCGTTAGTGCTACCACGAGCCGGCCGCTGGGATGGGCCATGTCTGCACGCTGGGCGGTTAAGCATGGTGAAGGAGAGGGGTTTCCTGGACACGGCGGGCCAAAATAGAAGAGATAAGTGGACCCCATCCGGGATTGTGGGGACTAAAGCGCGGTACGTTCCTCCGTCCACCGTGTGGCTCCAAGCCGATTGCCCTTTTGGCTTGATTGGGCGTCTAAATCCCTGCCCTCATTGGCCAATAGATTTGCACGTCGCTCTTCTGCGCCCGGTCGCTTATCACCCGTCACCTGGTGATGTGCTGCACCTCGCGCCAATCAGCATCTCAACTCTTCAACTGCCCGTATGCAGCTTCGCGGAAGCATCACCACTCTCACAAGCCTTCCAGCCCTCCTCATACTTTTTTTCTTTCCAACGAGATTGGCTTGGCCAGCCAAGTGCGAGATGAGGAGCAATGCCCATGACCGAATTCCCGCACGGTATTCGCTCGCTCGCCGTATCGGTCTGTCCGCATCACTGAATGAACTGACATACTGCATCATGCATCGAGTCAACATGCATGCGGTCTGCATGTACATGCGCGGCTTGCTGAGAAGACAAACTTCCTCATTGGAGTGTTGATGGCCTCCGCCAGCCGTCGCCCAGGGAAGAGCCGAAGATCGCGCGAGTCGGAAGAAAAGGGACACGGAAAGAGGCGCCAGACGCCATGTTCCTGGTTCCCTGACGAACATGCAGGCTCTTCTGTACGCCGTCGTTCGCAGCATTCTCATCGTACTTGCCTTTGCATCGCACCATGGAAGACACATGCAATACTCGATCGTCTGTCCAAGTCGATATCCGTCTGTTGTGTCAAAGATGCGATGGTTAATGGAACCCAGGCCAAGGAGTGCTCAAAAAAAATCCCCGAATAAGGGGCCTGTGGGAGATCAAACACTACCGAGATCCGGAGCTGGGAGAGGGCGCAGAAATGGGGGCAGAAAAGCCAAAAAGCCATGCGTTCCGCAGCCTGCTCCCCATTTCCTGGGCGGTCTGGCCTGCCTGCCTGCCTGCCCTGTCGGCTGCTGTCAACAACAAGGCCGATCGTAAGGCGACCCGCCAAGGGCAAACTGCCGTCCTCCGCCTTCGGTCGACATCCGCCCCTCTGCGTGACCTTGAGCCACCCACACCTCGGCGATGGAAGGTGAGATACTGCCTGCCGTTCCATTCTTCTTCGGGATGGTCCCAAGGTGCGTCATCCGGCTCCATGCATGCGACGGTCTCTAGCTTCGGCGGGTATGTGAGGCCCATCACACGGAAGGAGCTCTGCCTTGCTGGAGAGAGGATGGACGACGCCGCGTCGATATCCCCTCATGGCATTTCATGGCATCTTGGATCGAGGATCCAGTTCGCTGCATGCAGAAAGTCTGGACCGCCAAAAGCAGCTCATCGTGATCGCAGTTCCGTTACATCGGAAGGATCCTGTGGCCGGACGACGATATCCATGCGCCCGAGGCGACGTGAGATATCAACACCGAAGTGCTTGGTGATGCCGGCGGATGTCTCACAAAGACTGCAGGCTCGAAGCGGTCTGACCTCAGCATGGCGAGATTTCTGTCTGCTGACGAGCTGAATGTCCGCGAGTAACGTCGACGTCGCAGGCCTCACACGGGGTGATCTTGCGTACCTCGACCAAAAATCTTGGCCATCCAAGATCCATGCCGTTGTGGTGAGGTTGGTGTGGCATCTCGTAGGTGACAGGAGTACCTGGCGGGAATCAGCGGGATCGCCCGTGAGAGGCCAATGGATCCACCTACAGAAAGCTTACATCACGTGACCGCGCACATGTTGCCGTTCCAATGTCGCGAATTTCGTCCATTGTTGAGACGCGTTCTGCCCGCGTTTGCTCCGGTTATCTCCTGCGTCTATCGCCGGCCTGACTCAGTCACTTCAAGGCAGCAGCTCTCGAAGATCAAACTAACAGCCTCGAGCAGCCTCAAGTCCGCCGCAGTCCGCCGCCGGAAGCCTCTGATTACCAACCTACCTATGAGAAGTCTTGCAGGTGCCTTCGATAAAGGCACAGCTGTCTCGGTCTTGGAAGACCTCGAAGCTTTCGTCAAGTGCGATTCCCGAAAGAATAATCTGAAGAAAAGTTCGGCTACCTAATAGCCATTGTCAAGTCCTCATCATGGCCTCCAACTCAACCACAAACGAAGAGCTCATCGCCAAGGTCACCGAATACGTCGAGGCCTACATGGCAAAGTACGATGCTTCCCACGACTTCAACCACATCAAGCGCGTCCTCTCGCTGGCCCACCGCATCTACGACAAGTCCCCTGCCAGCCCAGCACTAGACAAGCAGACCATCACACTCGCGGCCCTCCTCCATGACGTTGGCGACCGCAAGTACCTGAAGCCTGGCGAAGACGCATCGACACTAGTTTCCACAGTCCTTCAGTCTCTGGGTGCTGATGAAAACCTTGCCGCCCGCGTACAGACCATCTGTCTCGGAGTCAGTTACTCCAGTGAGGTCAAGGGTCCGGCCCGCGTCCGCAGCCTGATCGCCGAATACCCGGAGCTCGCAGTCGTGCAAGACGCCGACCGTTTGGATGCCATCGGCGCCGTGGGCGTCGGCCGATGCTTTACGTTCGGCGGTGCCAAGGGCGCTCGGAGCATGGACGACAGCATCCTGCACTTTGAGGAGAAGCTGGTGAAGCTGGAGGGCATGATGAAGACGGAGATTGGCAAGGAAATGGCGAGAGAGCGTACGAAGCGAATCTTGACTTTCATGGAGTGGTGGCAGGATGAGGCCGGGCCAATCAGCGCATGAGTCAACGAGTTTCTTTTTCTCGGAATTTTGGAGGTGTCCGTTTTCGATTCAACTCGATACCCAATTTTGTTTGTATTGTCCAGGTCCGTGTCTCAACTAGGACTGCTTTTTAAACATGCTCAAAACGAACCCGTTTACGATCTATACCATTCCTCTCCTCAGCTTTGTTGCTCAACTGTCTGCGGTTTTTCCCGAGCAAGTCGAGCCTTTCTCAGTCGTCTCTGCGCACGTCTGTATCTCCAAGCCCAGTCTATCAGCCCCAGCAGTGGAAGGACAAAGACATCGACCGTCCTGACCGAAGTCCGCAGCTTGAAGTCGTCCTGCACGCGAGGTCGGTCGAACGACGAGCACAGCGTGTTGACCAAATACAAGCAGACCTCCCTCAGCAGCTCTCGGCCCTCAAAGTTGAACAAGAACGCAAACCCGCTTCCATCCTCCCACGGAACCTCGGCATTTCTCACCCGCTTCGAGTACAGCTCGCCGAAGCTGTCGTCCCGCGCCAGCATGAAGGCAGTCACCGCTGCCCTGCGCAGCAGTCGTGGATTCGGGCCCTCGAAGGTGAGGAGCGTCGCGACGAGGCAGGCCCAGGGCAGGCGGTCGCGCAGGCCGAAGTAGTACAGGAAGGAGGTGTACATATAAGCGCCGCAACAGACGCCGACGCAGGTCGTGAGGTCGAATCCGCGAGTAATGAGGAAGAGGAGACCCATAAGGGGGTAGGTCGCGACGAAGAGGCGGAAGTGGTTCGTGAGGGTGATCCACACCTCCCAAATGATCGCTGCAAGGACCTCCCAGATGATGCCGCCAAGGTCTCCGATGCCTAGCAGTATCATGACGTAAACGCGGGTCCCGGAGACGGCAGGCTGTCGGGCGACTGCCATGGCTCTCCCGTTGATTCTGGGTAAGGGAACGGTTCGGATTGAGTTACTCGGCGCGGATTTGAGGTTCGTTTGATGACGGAAACTTCCGGGGCATCGTGGTTGTCAAGGTATAGGGAAAGAGAGGTGAGGCGTGGTGAACGCGCCTTATCTATCCAGGTTGTTGGGAATAGTAAAGTTAGGGCATAGCTGGCGCATTCCCAAGGGGTGAGCAGGCGCGATCCAAAGTGGTGTCTCACCTTCTCTCCCTTAGCTTCTCACGAACCCCCCACGTAGCGCGCGCCATGGAACGCCACAACGGTGCCCCAATCTCCGGAAATAAGGATTCGAAGCACATTTTCTTCGACCTTGTGAGGAAACCTTGTGAGCAAGCCGATCCGAACATAAAGCTGCCTGCAGCATGCAACGTCGGCGGTCGTGCTTCACGCACAGATACAAACAAACCGTTGGGATCCCCGGACCCTGAAGCTGTCGCCATGGAGAAGCTACCGACCGAGCTTCTGCTGAAAATACTGCTGCCAGAGAATTTTGAATGGCCCGCCGATTTCGACGAGACAACCGCATCGATCGATGAGCTTTTCGACGCCAATTTCTTCAACATTTGGAGGCGGTCATGGGTGTATCTTCGTGTCTGCCGCAGCTTCGACGAGGCGCTGAAGCCCATTCTCTCTGCCAAGTTCAAAAGACAGGCTGTCGCGCTTTTAATGCTGCTTAGCAACAACGATTCACCACACCGGCGGCTGCAGGTGACTAGTCCGTCAGACAATGCGTCATTGCTACCCGACGAATGCGAGATTTCAGATTTCAAACTTTTCCTATACTGTTGGAACTTGAAGGATAGACAGATTGTGAGCCTGATCCACAACATACACCAAACTCTCGACGAGCCCGAAGCCGCCTGGCCGAGTTTGGACGGATTCCCGAATTTAGAGATGAGCCTCCATGAGGCGGAGAGCCTCATGTTCCTTCCCTGGGAAGAGAGATGCCGACGTCGTCCACAAAAGGCAGCATATAGTAATACATGTGCGCTAAAACGTACACCAAGCTTCGAAGCCATGGTTCAACCAACAATTCATGATCAAAGACATGACGAGGAATGGATGTATCACGTTGAAAAGGCAGGCCAGTTGGGTTGGTATCTAAAAGCAATGGAGCAGGCAGCACAACATAGTTGTGAGTACTGAATAATCCAAGCTGATTTGAGAACCTTAGTTCTGACATGTTAGAGCTAGAGAACTCGAAATATAGGAAATCCAAACTTTTTTTACCATTCGAAAGAGCTTTGTTATCCGGGAGGATTCTCAAGCGGGTGAAGTGCTATTTCTATATATAATAGTATACGATGCATCATTCCTACTATTTCTATAACTGTTACTATCATTCTTGCCTTTGCCGTTACTGTTGTCTACATGGTCTATTTCATGACTGCGAAATCTTTTTAAAAGAGTCCCACGATATGTGCTATCTCCTTCAAATGCGCCTAGGACGAGACGAAAGAGCTTGAAGGAGCATTTCAACCACCTGTAGTCGTCATGTACTATACATTTGATATATAGCTGGAGTCATCTTCCTTGTTTTCAACCATTTAGAAAGAGCTTTGCTAGCCAGGCAGTGTCAACTAGCGTACTTGTTACTTCTACAAGGGCGGTAATAGTAGAAGAAAGAATAGGGGCAGCTATAAGAATAACGACGCTAGACGACGACGATAGACGACGATGATAGACGACGATGATGGAGGCGACGATGACAGAAATAATAAGAATAAGGATGACAAAAGAGGGGGGGGGGGGATGTAGTGCCCTGTAGTACAAGAAAAAAGGGTAGACATGCAGGTGACTGTGTGACCTTGATGGATATAGTAACAACTTTTCGCAACCCTTCGCAACCTCCATTCTGGATTAATGAGTCTTATCCGTTTGACAACTATAAATGAACAAGACTGCAAGTCCCACCAGGCACCATGTTTTGCATTCTCGATTACCTTGGCTTCTGCAAACCAACCGCATACCTCAAACCTACAAGCAGCAAGATGGCGAAACCCACACCACAACTCGCGGGCATACTGAGACTCCCCCAAGAACTACTGTGGTGGATTTTGCTGCCGGACGTTGCCTACCACTCCGTCTCTCACGTGTTCCAGGACAGGGCGCCCAACGTGGTCAATCACGACCCCGAGTTCTTCTTGAGATGGAGGAAGTTCTGGAGGATGCGCACCGTCTGCCGTCGCTTCAACGACTTCCTCTTTCCGTTGCTAAGCCATGCCTTCCGTCAGGAGGCCCTCAGCATACTGGCCGCCACGATTATCGTCAACGGTCCCCAGCATGAGCTCGGTTGGATAGGGGTCATCGAGGGCTGCTACCACCCGCTACAGCCCCTCAACCAGATCCTGGAGCGTTGGATGCTGGACGATCGGCAGAGGACCAGTTTCCTCTGGAACATGTACGTGGCCCTCAGAAACCCGAAGCACGTGGTCGCTCGCCACGACCACCTGTTTGCTATGAACAATGACCGCGCCGAGACACTGGTACTGTGCGCTTTCGACGACTGGTGCTGGCTTTATAGGGAAGACCTCCTGAGGCTCGGCGTTCCCACCGGTCCGTGTATGCATTGGTGGCGCGGTGAAGATCCCGTGGGCTGCGTTGCGTACAAGAACATGCAGGAGGCTCAGATGCAGACCGTGGAATACTTGCACATGACCGTGGCCGACCCTTCGAGATTGGTCGAGGAAGTCATGAAGTCATGGTTCAGGACGGTGATCTAATAGTAAGAGGCCTACGAGCTATCGTCGTCGTCGTCTATCGCCGTCCACCAATACTATCGTCATCGCTATCCCTATCGTCTTCTCTACTACTGTCGTCCTAGTCGAAGTATTGGGTACGCTACGATTGAAATTGTAGGGGACACTGCCCGGCTAGTAAAACTTTTGATTGAATTGCACCTGTTGCAGCATGACGGTATGATAAGCATACTGGAACCCTCGCTGCGAAGCCAGCCTGCGCAACCGAGTGGCAACGCAATCCTTTGCAACACCTATGTTTGTACGAGAGCGAGGCTATCCTCGTTTACGAGTCAAATGGAATAGACACCTTGCATATTTAAATATATCTAGGCTATTATATAATTAAGAGAAACATTCCGTAACGTGTTATATGTCCAAGATGACTTCCCGAATGAACTGTTCTCACTTTCACACGACGGCATCAGTGGTGATGACTTTTTCAGCAGTGCATCAGGTAACAGCACGACTACAACACGATCTGCATAAATACAACTCCATACGCCTGGTGGCCAGCCCTGATCCTAGCATGTTCCACGATGCCGATGATTAAAACAAACAATACTATGTGTGTATAAATGGCTTGTAATTCCAATACTTCGACAATTCCTCCGTACGGGATATCAAGAGAGTGAATTTACAGGAAAAGAGCAACAACAACGCCAACAACTGCAAGATAACCAACGGTGTTCTGAGCGGCACCAGCTGTTGGCACAGAAGAAGGACCCGTGGTGGAAGGAGAACCCGGAGTGCCAGTGGGACCGCTTGGGGTTCGAGTTGCGGAAGAGGAAGGGGTGGTGGACTGGCCGGGTTGACCAGACTGGCCAGGTTGGGTAGATTGTCCAGGTTGACTGGGTTGACCGGGTTGACCGGGCTGCCCCGGCTGGCCAGGTTGGCCCGGAGTACCAGGTGCGCTGGGGTTGCTGGTAGGAGCTCCGGGAGCACCACTGCCGCCCGGGGTCGTTGTTGGGGCAGTACCGTTACCACGGGGGACAGTTGTCGGAATAGTGCCATTGCCGCGAGACATCGAGGGGGCCATGCCATTACCACGAGAAGTCGTCGGAGCAGTGCCGTTACCGCGACCGCCACCGCCACCACCGCTGCCACCTCCGCCGCCAGTACCAGGACCAGTAGGCTCAGGCATGGGGAAAGTGAATCCAAACGTCGAAGAGCTCCTCGTCATCATGGAACCGCCGCCGCCGCCGCGTCCACCGCCAGCACCGGTGCCATTCCCACCAGGGGCCATTGTACCGGTAGGTCTCCCGACGGGGTATGTCTGAGAGCCCGTGACGGCGGAGTACGGAGTGCATACACTGGGCGGGAGGAGGAAGGGCTGGGGGCTGGCGTAGACGACGCAGTTCTTCTCGCAGGCGGCATCGCCCGCGTCGGCGTTGCTCATCCAGCACTGCGCGGGCTGGACGCCACGGGGGTACTCCCCAGCGAGGTTGTTTGTGCAGCGGCCCGGTTGCCCCTTGCCTTGGGCGTTGCAGCGGATGATGATGTCTGTGCCGAAGGAGTCGCCGGCGCACCATTGGGAGTTGGCACGGGAGCAGGTGTATACACCCGTTGTTTGGTTGCTGTGCGTTGCGTGTTAGTGGCGTGGAGGGAGGGACGTTGAGTGATGGAAGGGAGGATGGGAGGGAACTGACTATGTGTAATCGGCTGATGCTATGGCCGACATGGCCAACAGTATGTAGGCGTGTGTCTTCATCTCTTGTGGTTTGCAGTGTATGTTCTGCTTTCTTACTCGGTGTTGAATTATTTATGAACCAAGTGGACCGGACGGTATAAGTGAGAGGGCAGGTAGTATATATAAAGCAAAGCACACAAAAACGAGTGATGTGATGCTTATGCTATAATATGATGCAACTGACGATGAGTGAAGATGGGATGGTGAAAACATTCGGCAAGTGAGGGTGTGTGTTGGAAGCAAGGGCATCCATATATAAACGTTGGAAGATGGTGTGAGCTTATTAGTCGCGACGGCGGCGAGAAGAAACGTCGGGAAGCCATCTTCGGGCGCGCGTGGGATGGAGAGGCTGGGATGGGCGAGTTAGCGCAAGCAAGCAAGCAACACAAGCAAGGCAAGCCTGTCCACCCATCCACGCAACAGCTGGAGTCGCGGAAAGAGACAAGAAGCGTCGAGACACGAGAAAGGGACAGGTTGACGGTACTGGCGCAGCCGGGCTGGGCTGAGGCTGGTAGCGGCGCACGCGGGTTTCCCGATGAGACGAAATCGGGGCGCTCCTCGGTCTATTGGGCGGACTTTGCATCTGACAGATACGGCTGCCCTTTACACTGCTCGGCCATTCTTCTTTCTTTCTTTCTCCTATTTTTCGTTCAAATATCGTTTTTGTGTAGTCTTAGCCTAGAGCCGTACTTGGCTGACTAGAATGTGTCCGAGAGCGTTTGTGTAGGTTTCGCGCCGGTCTACCTCGCCTGGGTGCGATATGCGGGAAACGATGGTGTGAGATGTTTCTGCAACCAGGATCTCGGCAGAAGTCTCCGATGGACCGGGACAAGGTATTTTTTGCGTTTTGGAGGGTCAGTGAATGCCAGTGGCAGGCAAGGGAAACCCACATCGCAATGTCTCGCCATCAGGAAAACGAGAGGAGAGACGGGGAGGATGACCGTGTCGCTGACATCACGAAACGGAATTCCAACCTCTTGTGGCTACGCATTCTGCAGAAACTGCCAGATTCTCGTTTCCGGCCCGTCACATCTCCGAGATGCCTTCATATCTCTTCCACATTGGCCCGTTAGTAGGCTGCAGTTCCTTAGAGATGTTGTCAGTTACATAAGGCGAGTAGCAGATTTCCACGCATGGAGCTCTACGCCAGCAAAGTCAACCAACTCCAGGAAGAGCCATCTTTGATTAGATTTGCAACCGTACGGCATCTTCAAGTCCACACAGACAATGACTCTGCCGACGGGCAATTTCCAACGCCGGGCACCCGCTACCGAGTGAGACAAGCCTATACAACGCAAACCTGCAGGTGGCCGGGGCGAAAACGCTCTCCCTCCCGCCCGGAAACGAACGACCACCACCTCCACGAGAAATCGCGGCGACAACACGTGCAGGCGTTCAAGCCACCCTCCGTCGCAAGCTCTTCATCATCCATGGGTCATCAGCGCAAGGAATGACTCTCGACCAAGTCCGTTATCCGCTCCGAATCGCCAAGGTTGGATGATGGGACGGAGCAGTCGCGGATGACCCGGCATTCGGAGCTGGGCGCAGTGTGGTCTGCGTCATTGCCACGGAGAAGCAAACGTAACCGGATCTGAGATTTCTCTCGCCGTGACAGATGCTAAGCTTCTTGCCCCGTGAACTTTGCTGTTGTAGCTGCCCAGCTGTGGCACTGCGCAGTGTGTAGCTGAGATCGCGAGATTGTCGAATGAGAACGAGTAGACGGTTTGACAGCTGCTTAACCTACGGCGACGACGGACGCTCGGTAAGGTAGGCACCGCCTCGTGGCCCGCGGTGCCGATTAAGCTCGAGGCTTGACACTTGTGGCGAGACCCGTGAAGAAACCAACGTTTTTGGATCGTATCCTTTCAGCTGGACAAGCCTCGATAGCGTTCGGAGAAAACATGGCACAATGCTATTCTTATCCTTGACTCACTTACACGATATGCTGGCTGCGGCCGTGATTTCTGTCTGCACCAACGCCGTCGACGATACTATTGAAATCATGCAACTTGCATGTTCGCCGTTCGCGTACCTCAGAAGAGCAAAGAAAAGGCATGCCTGGGCAGTTGGCCTCCACCGGCGCACCCAGCGCGGTGGAATGTTCCCTGCCTTCCCCCCTGCCCTTAACCAGCCTAACCCTGTAACGAAAATAGAAAACCACTCAAGAGGCCCTGTCCGATTCGTCCCCGCCGCTACCGAAAACACACACAGCAGCGTGGAGGCGCCTTGGGTCCCGTCCGTGCTGCTCCCCCCCACCCCCCACTAACTCTAACAGAGACCTCCCTCGGTCTCCCTCGGCCCCCAAATCGCGATGCGGGCTCCGATGCGCTGCACATTCCAGACGCGGGTTGGGTTTTGGCAGCCGAGGGAGATGGCGAGCGCGACGGGGTGGGAGGGCAATCTTGTCTTCTCTTGCTCTCAGCTGACCTGCCTTGGCTGTGGGTGTGTAACGTGTGAAGGAGAATTGGCGACTTTGGGTGATGTCATTGCTGCCCCTCCTACTTCAATGTTAGCTTACACGATGAGGCAATCTTGTGTGGGGTAGTTGAAGAGTCGATGCTCAGTCAGGCGTGATGTTCTTCCTCGGAGGCCTTGAGGTATAACCTCTTTATGAGACTAACCATGTTGAGTGTATTATAGCGATTCTTCATGTTTTTCATATTAGATTTCTCTTGCAGCTCATGATTGTCTGTGTCTCCAAAGCTATTGCCATCGTCATGTTCTAAATATTTGTCATTGGTCCTCTTTTTCAACAGTACCATGACTTGATCATTTTTCAACGTGCTTTATTTGTTCTCTCATAGACTCGTGATAAACATGACAACAACCCACCGACCGCGACACCAATCACCAACTTTTCCTCTCACCACCACCCACCATCCAACGCCTGTTGTAGAAACTTCATCACTAGGCTGCCAAGGATCATATCTGACCATAGAAATATCCTTGACACCTAGGTTTCCAGGATGGTTATTATGTGATTACAACTCCTCCGAAGCAGACTCGGTCTCGTTGACCATGGCGCTGAGGGGTCCGCGCTTGACCATGATACTCATGATCTCGTACAGAGCGTCGGCCGCGGCCATGGTGGTGTGCTCGGCGTTGGTGTCGTACGCAGGCTGTGTGGGTCGATGTGTTAGTCTCAGGGGCCGCTACAACCATTACAACCGCACGGGGTAAACTTACAGCAACCTCGACGATATCCGCAGCAATCAGATTGAGGCTTTCAAGTCCACGCAGAATAGTGCGAAGCTCACGAGTAGACCAACCGCCAGTTTCAGGGGTACCAGTAGCA